TCAGCATCACCTGTCAAATAAACAATGCACTGGCGCCGCTTCACAGCAGAGCCCGCTGGCAAAAGCTGCTTCTTGATCTTGCTTAGTGATATTATTATTTGTTATCAAAGACAGATTGTGGCTTCACTGCATAGAGATGTAGCCGAAAGATGAGGAGAATGGCCTAGGGGGAAGAAGCAGAGAAAGTTGCTTAGACATACACACACTGAATAATTAGTGATAAGAGCCAAGGAAATATTCATGACTCTGTGGAAAGAGAAATAGATTTTTGATTAAATTTGAGTTTTTCTCTTTAAAGCAGTTGAAGTTGCTTTGTGATTGGCAGCATGGAAATGAATTTTCTACGTATTCTGGCTGGCCAGAGGATCCCATGCAGCCAAGATAAAGCCATAGATATACAGCTGCCGTACACTGGAAAGAATTCAGAGTGGCGATGCCAGAAGCCTATACTCTCTTGGCAGTTGCAGTGCAGCTGTTGAATGGTCAGGTTAACCCAGCTTCCTCTCCCGCAGCTTTATCCATGTATTGTACCCCCAAAAATGCCCCAGTTCCACAAGCATCATTTATTTAGTTAGCCCAACCTTCCACACGTATGATATTGCCAGTTTGTTCACTGGATTTTTTTACATCTTCCACGAGGTTAGTGGATGCTGCCACACATTTGATTGGCGTTCAAGGGATTTTTGAATCCTTCTCCCCTCCTCTCCTTCCAGCTTCTGGGAGGATTCCAATAGATTCCAGCCTGGGGGATCCTTTAAGAATCCTGCGAGATTCCCTTCCAATCTGGTGGAGATAAGGGGACGGTGATGCTTTTGAGGTGTGTGATGGCAGTATGCAGAAGGAGATATGTTGGTATGCAGATTGCAGAACTGAGGTCCCTCTCTTTTGAAGGGATGAGTGTTGTCATACGGTGTGATTGGGGAGATTGTATTCCAGTCTTGCCCCCCTCAGTATCCAGAGGTAGGAGTGTTGGCGCCTGTCTCTGATAAAGTTGCCATACAGGAATAAATATGGTGAGGCAATCCATATAACTAAGAAAGAAAAATGTTACTATACTCTCTCAATGCACCTGAAAATTCCATGTCTCCCCAGGAAACGTTCTGTGCCTACAGAGTGGGAAGTCTGGTGTAGCACCTAGGACATTGAACTGGGGCTCAACAGACTTGGGTTCAATTCCTAGCTTGGCTGCTGACTTCCTATGTAACTATGGGCAAGTCATTTTATCTACCCTGTGCCTCAGTTCCCCATCTGTAAACGGAGGATGGTACTTCCCTACCTTACAAGGAAGTTGTGAGGTTAAAATCCATTCAAGATCAAGAGAAATTCAAACACTGTGGTGATGGGGGCTATAGACGTACCTAGACCGCGTCCTAACACATTGGCTACATCCTCCTGCGCTTTTTCAGGTGGACATTGCATAGAAAGCTGCTATGACTCGGCAGCAGAGAATGCATTCACAGTAATGTGTCCAGTATTATGGGCAAGTCTACACTATCGCGCTACATCGGCGCACCTGCACCCAGTGTGGTGTGCCCCTGGAGACGCATTATGCCAACGGGAGAGCACTCCCCCATCGACGTAATTACTCCACCTCTGTGAGAGGCGGAAGCTGTGTCAGCGGGAGAGCCAGCGTAGTGCAGTGTGGACAGCACTTTAAGTCGATGTGATGTTTTCACACCCCTGAGCAGCGTAAGTTACATCGACTTAATCGGTAGTGTAGGCGAGCCCTGAGTGACTTAACTGAATGGCTGGTTGAACCAAATGTCCCAGGTCAGATGTAAACTGTTTTTATGCTCTCTGTTCTGCAAGCGGTAATTGATGTTTTCAATCCTCACATGCAGTGACACACATCCTATATCTCCCATCTTGGGCCCTTACACTGCTCTGACTAAGCACCTCCGTTCCCATCTGCAATTTGCTATGCTAGTCCAGTCCTGGACTCCAACCCAAAGTCTGTTACTGCTCTTCATCCCTGACCTAGATCTCTCCTAAACCGAGACTGCCAACTCTGCAGTGGTTTTATGATGTGTAGAAATACCTGCCAGGGATTCTGTCACTCGCCAAAATAATTTCATTTGCGATCCATGATGCATTTGGTCGCTGGTCTGAAAGCCAGTCCATTAACCCATTGCATCCCCCAAACCTCATCCCATATTATTATGAATCTCTGAAGCAATAATAGTTCAGTGGAGGACAGCCTAATGAATCTGCTGAAGATGAATCTGCCACTGCTTTTCTGTGTCCTGACTGGAGGATGATAGGACAGCTAGGAGGGTAAGGCTCCATGGCAGTAGGGAGGACAGTTATGGATTTGGGAGGAGATGATGAAGGCAGCTGTTCCTGGCAGAGGCTCAGAATGGCTGAGCTGTAGCTTCTGGAGTTACATGTGTGCGGCTGGGCGTATTTTTGTTTAAGAGTAACTAGACTAATGTACCTAGCATAGATAAAAACATGCACATGCACAAACTACTCCGCACCTTACGCTGACATCAATTTCTTTCTGACAAAGGTAAATGACCCACTGCAAAGCCCTGAAATTAATGGTAGCTTGGCCGAGGGCCAAGAATATTGTTATGTTATCACTATCATACATGGGATTGTAATGTTCGAAAGATGTGGATGTTTATATAGCAGCAGCTGACACTGCCATGTTCCAGGCCCTTAAGCGGCCTCTGTGGAAATATCGGGACTTCTATGTTACCATGAAACTGCAGATCAGTAAAACTACAGCGCTGTTGTACAGCAGTGAAATGTGAGGACCGAGGAAAGGCTGAAGACAGGCGGACTGATGTTTTTGATTCTCACCATCTTCATCAATTGCTTCATATTAAGTGGGAGGACAAGATCAGTAATGAGGATATTCATGGCATCTGCCAGCATCAGCACTGGTTTAATTTGGTTGGCTTTCTTGGTTTGGACATATTATTAGGATGGCAAGTTTTGAACTAAGTAACTCACCAAAGAATATGCAGGACATAAGAGCTGGCAACAGAGCCCCAGTATCTTCACTCCAACTTCTATGCTTTAGCCACATGACCACCTTTTCCCTCCCAAATATGCAGCTACATGCCAGTACCAAATCCACCCAACTATATGAAGACCGAGTCCAATTTTTATTAAATTAGAATTGAACCATAGTCAGTTTTGACTCAATAATCTAAATTTACAAGCTCCCTCCTAAATGAAGACCATCTGAGGACTACTGATCTGATTGCTCTGGTTAGAATGTCCCTTGTAACCTCACAGAGAGAGTATTTGTAAATGCTACCTTCTGTGGACAGTTTTCAACTGTCCCAAACTTTGCTGAGCCTTGCTTCACAGGTCTATATCACGTTGCTTAAGCTTAGCTTGCAATGTGATATGTCTACACGGAAATCAAACACCTGCAGCTGGCCTGGGCCACCTGACTTGGGTTTGCAGGGCTTGGGCTGCAGGGCTGTAAAATTGCTGGGTAAACATTATGCCTCAGCACTGAGCCCGAGCTCTGGGACTCACCAAGGGGGAGTGTCACAGAGCCTGGGCTCCAGTCCAAGCCCAAACATCTACACAGCAGTTTTTACTCCACAGCCCAAGCCACAGGAGCCCAAGTCAGCTGACCCAGGCCAGCCATGGCTGTGTCACGGATCTTTTATTCCAGTGTAGACGTACCCTCGGAGTCCTAAATATACCTTGGGTTTATCATGATCCATCTTCCCAGTGCCATGGTATTGAATCCTCACATTGGGACTTTGCATCTGTATATTGTGTCAGGATGGAAGTACAGTTTGTGCAGTGTCCCAGCATAAAACTACAGACGTTGTGACATAAAACAGGCGTCACCAACCACATGATTATTTTGGCCCAAAGGGCAAATACACAACTGGGGCAGCCTTGTAATTACCAGGAGATGTCAGTAGGAGTGTCTTGGGTAAGTGCTTAGGACAACTTGGGTCCCTTCTGCTTTGTGAGGCTCCCTTTAGTGGATGCTATAAAGTAAATCGTCATTGCTGTAATATCTAGGAAGTCCATCCTTTCCATTTTTAAAAAAACAAAGTCGCATGTTAAAATCATGGATTAGCAGCTGTTATGCCCACTGGAGAGGCCGAGAGCAAATTAAAGATGACATTACATGATAATTGGAAAGGTGCAGGGGATGATTCAGGTGCATGTATTTGATTGGTCTGAAAGTGTTTTTTTAAAAACTAAGCTAGCATATGCCATGACTGCCTTTAATTTTATACACAGGGCCAGGTAAAAATATCTGATGAGAGGCAACTGGGCTGCAGTACTGCAGGACAGTGTATAGCTCTCCATTCCTCTTCTCCCTTGCATGGTATAATACAATTTGAACGGAGCAAAATGGGTAGAGTTCTTTTTAAATCCTGTGAGTGTCCATCCCAGAAGCCTCTATCCTAATCTAGGTGGAGCAGGGGAATATGTGGTCTTTGATGGCTACATCTTCACTGCAGAAAAGTGCTGTGCTGATGGGCAAATTACCATACTGGGTTTGGGGGGGCTAATAGAAGCTCATGCATTTTTAGGGCTGTATTGCTATGTAAGAGTTGGGTGGAAAGGTGGGCTTCCCCTAAGCACTGACAATACATACAACTATGCCTCCATCAATATGAGCTAGACCCTCTAGGTTCCAAATGGGACCCCAAGAACATGAGCTTCTTCACCACAAGACCCTGGTCACAGTGGGCCTTCATGGGCTTTGCTGAAGTGGGATCAGAACTCAGAAATCTATTCCTGAAAGAGATGCATCAGAGCCTGAATTAAAGTTGCCTCTGTTTCTAAAGGTTTTCTCCCGATTATGTGTTAGGATTATTCTTCTGGGTGGCCACTTCCTGGGTATGAGTCTGTGTCACAAACGGGCTTAAACTGAGGTCAGGGACTGGAGTGTTGTTCTGTCTCTCCTAAATTATGTAGAAGGCTCCCAGATACCAGTGTGGTAGGCAGATTACAAATGCATCTAAGAAGTATAGGTTAAGATGCTCATTTGATTGTGTTTTGCTTTACAGGTCGCCACATTATGCCTGCCCTGAAGTGATCCGGGTAAGTTAGCTTGTACTCTCAGCATTTGTATAAAAGCATGTCACTCGTTACATGGATGCAGGCAGGTACCCTCTACAGGAAGTGATCCCAAGGCAGTTAGCATTGCAAATGCTTAATGTAACTGTCATTTTCCTTCATGTGACAAGGCCCAAAAGCGAGTTACACCACTAGTATAAAGGTCATGAACATATGTCACTGTGAGAGCAGAGGTCATTCATAGTGGAACAGCTACTTCAGTCGCTTGACCAGCCAGAAGTACAATGGTTTTGTTTTCCATGTTATTTCCATCCAGTGGGCCTCCATGTCCCCTATGGAGTCCCTAAATATCCCCTCAAGCCAGATTGGACTGTCAGCACTGTTACTAGTTTGCTATTGAGCAATAGGAGGTACTCCCTTCTCCAACTCTTTCTTCTTCCCCTAAGGCTGGCTACTGTAGGCTCTGGTGGCCCAGGGCTCCAAAGACCAGGTTTCCCGCCTGTTGATGCACAGCAGTAATATGAAGCCAAGTGATTCAGAAAATCAATAGAAGAGAATTGCCAGAAAACATGACAAGTTAGCAAATAATATGACCCATTCCGAGCTCCATAAAGAGCTAACCAGGAGAGAAGCAGCTTCTTGATATCCTGAAGGCATCTCTGACATTTCTGATTAAGTGCTGACTCCTCAGTTCTTTTACTGCTCCGTGGCCATTCCCTCCCTTCCCCATATTGTAGGCTTTGCTCTCTCGCATCCCTCAGACAAGGACATAACACTGATTTTCACAAGAACCTATGAGCCGCTCTGGCCTGCTACTTAGGTAGCTCTCCAAGAAACAGCTTCTGGGATCAAAACTTCAGGTCTCCCACTCTCCCCTCCCCCATTATTCAAGGATGGCTAATTCTCTTACTAACCAGCATTCATTTAAACTTCTATCTCTGTTGCCCAGGGAGAAAAATACGATGGGAGGAAAGCGGATGTCTGGAGCTGTGGAGTCATTTTATTTGCATTGTTAGTGGTGAGTCATCAGCCTTGCTACCTCCTTTAAACAGAAAAAAAAAACCCACAATGCTGCTGTATTTCATGTTAAATCTACTGACGTGGTGTAAGTCTCTCCTGGGTACCCTCTCTCTTTCTGTATCTCTCAGCTGCATCTTCTATCTCTCAGCATCTGTCCCAAAAGGGAATGCATGATAAATATTTCACTTCGACTTTGAAGGGCTGCCACCCTGTACAGCAGAGCAGAGGGGATTGTGGGAAAGCTGCTTCCCTATGTGCTCTTTGCTCTGTTATTGTGGGGCAGCACTTTAAGAACCTGATTCAAAACTCACTGAAGTCAGTTGGCCCCAGAGGGATAGGATGGTCAGGGTTGCAACTTCAGGACAGGGAGGATCCTAGGCTGCCCTTCATAGGATCAGGAAAGTGGTTTGGTGTGGTGTATTTTTACATGTATATGCATCTTCATTCAAATAGTTTTGTCGGATGTGAGTGAAATGTAACAGCTGTGGCTCATGCCAATTTTGAGCCTCTGTAAACTGCATTTGAGAATGTAGAATTGAGCCAAAAGTACCCTGTTTCAACTGGTTTCCACACAAATAATAATTCCTTTCCTGGCACCTAAAATATACTGTTTCGGAATTTGTCCCTGGCTCAGTGAAAGGCTCATGAGCTGCACAGAACTTGTTCTGAGTTACACAGATGGTATGAAACCCCAAAACCAGACAAACATTGTACCAGAACTTGAAATCAAGTGAGTTTTGCCTCTGTTCAGCTTTATACAGGAAATCTGGTTTGTACTCCCATAAACAAGAAGTAGGATGCCATAAGTGACAAGTAGGATGGACTTAATGTGTATGAAATTATTCGTCTTGTTTGTAATATGTCAAGTGATCATGTACAGTTACAAACAGCAAAGCTCCTTGCTCCATATTTTGTTGTCCTTGCACAGTTACTAGCCAGTTCTCTCTCAGGCAGACTTCTGTTGACATCCAATGGGAGTTTGCCTGAGTGAAGAATGGAAGGAATAGCTGAGTAAAGAGCTCGTGATTTGACCTTTTGAAACAACAGGAAAAAGAGACCCAGAAAAGCTGCCTGGGAGTTATCAGCGTGAGTACTCCATTCTCACCAGGATGGATGCCCTTTGAGATTTTGTATCCCACGGACTCTGGAAAATGTCTTGGGTTGTTTCTAGGTATAAACCTGAGCCTCTAAAGCGGTTGAAACTAGCCGATCACTGATGCTCAGTGCCAAGCATCAAGTTAATTACATCAAGATAAACACCCACGAAAAGTCTTATGCCATAATAGCAATTGCTAGTAATTAGCAACCTTTAGTTGCTACGTCCAGGAAATGCTGCATTTTATCTTGAACTATATTACATTAGCCAAAGTACCTAACTCTCAATATTGATTTTGCTTTAAGTCCTGAATAGTTATGAGGAACTAGGTAACTGGAGGGATTGGTAATGAACAGGAGGCTTTTTGCTTCTAGGCCACTAGTATGAATAAACACAGGTCGGTAATGACTAATGGTTGTTAGCATCAAATGGGCTTTTGGTGGCCTCTGTAAATAGATTTGTTGGTCTCGGTCTGTTATATACACTGTATTATCCTACACAAGCATTACATGCACTGAAGTAAATACAGTGTAAACACTGACATTTAGAGCCTGGCTGTAAGAATTGCTGAGAACCCGCAACTTGCATGGATTTTGATGGGACTCGAGGACACCGCACATCTACCAGGATCATGCCAGTAATTTTGGGGGGGAGAGATTCTCTGGTGGGCTTGTGATAAAACCATATCATAGTTTCATCCAGTGGACCTCGAGAACCTTCAAGCTCTTAAAGCATCCTAATTCAACCCTGGGGCACACGGGAAAGAATTCTGGAATAATGTTAATGTCCCAAACAAACTCCTGGTTGATGACCCCAGAAAAGAATTTACAGCTTTTAACCTACCCTAGAAACAATAGTCTATATTAAATCATTTCAGAACATCGCATGGCAGATGTTATCATCTCTTACATCTCTGGAAGATGAGAGATAATGAACAATGTGATGGTGGTCACCAGTTGCAATCTGTGAACCATATTGTAAATCAGTGCCCACTTTGATTGTTTGCTGATGGCATTTTGGACTTGTGCCAAGCCACTTCCAAAGCCACACATTGACTCACTAATCTGAACTTGGTTACTTGAATGTTGCCGATCACCTCTCTGCTACTAAATGTTGAGTTGAATTTAAGTAGATCCCCGAGTCTTAAGAATTTGCCTGAGAAGGCAACATCATATTTTGCATTATGTTTTAGTCTCTTGTTCATTTTCCAATTTAAAAAAGTTTAATATAAAAAAGCTACATCCAAGGTTCCGTTTCCATGTTGGAAAAAGTAAAGCAATGCTAAGGAATTATCAACAGGTGAAGAAAGTGTGCTTCACTTCTTATAATGGTATAGTGACTTTCTTAATGTCATCCTTTTCTTTTCTTTTCATCAAATTGCTCAACTTCTCACCTTTTGCCCTCTCCCATTCCTCTTTTCTCCTCTCTCCCACCCACAATTCCTCCCTCATGTCCCTGCAGGGTGCCCTGCCATTTGACGACGACAACTTGCGGCAGCTGTTGGAGAAGGTGAAGCGGGGTGTGTTCCACATGCCACATTTCATCCCTCCGGACTGTCAGAACCTCTTGCGGGGGATGATTGAAGTGGACGCCTCGAAACGTCTCACGGTAAGAGGGTATTCACTGCAAATCATGTGATCGGTATGTTTTCAGGACTTTCTATCTATGTTTCTGTGTGTGGGATTCCCCCCCATCCTCTCTCCCTATATGTATTGTTGCACAATTAAAGTAATTCTCCACAGTGCAGCTGCCCAAAGGCTCCTATCCCTGAACCATGGATGAAGGGAGTGAATATGGGTTTAGGGAAGAAGCACACTTCCTTCTCTTGCAAATCATGAGGGCATTTTAGATTTGTATTGTTACTCTGCTTTGATTTTCCTTTGTATGAAATGTGTGTGCATTTACAATAAAACTCCCCTGCTGATGGCATGATGGCACTGCCAAGTAGTTGGTGTATTTTGGAATCAGCCTTGGTATTCTGGCTTCTCAGCTTAGCAGACTGTGGGTTTGTCATAGAAGTGATGTACTATTAGAGGGCTAGGACTGCCCTTTCACCCCTTCCTGGTGTGGGATCAGCATCTCTTGCACTTCTGGGTGAAGCAATGGTTCATGCATTGTAGGCTCCTGAATCTCAGGGTGCACTGCATTGTATCCTGGGTGCATTATAGTGTCCTCTGGCAGCCTGCATACCGGGTTCTTGGAACCATATCTTCTAGAGTCCTTATGCTTTGTTTGGTAGGCTGTGGTACCCTGTGCCCTGGGCACATCATGTTGAGCCGTCTGGGATTCTGTACCCAAGGTGAGTTCCACCAATTCCTCGGAGACCTTACCCCCTGAATGCGCTGGAACGATTATGTCCGTCACTGATACCAAGTTAATGTTTTGGGGTATTTTGAAAATTTAGCAATAAAAATAATTTTGAAGAGCAAGATTGCCTGATATTCAGTGGAGGTTTCTGGCTCTGTGGGTATCTTGGCCTTTATAAATCACGTTGTCAGTCCCCAGTGATGATTTTATACAGATTTACTAAACTCGCAGATTCTGAGTGGGAGTATGTATAAAGAAATGCAAATTTAAAACTCCTCCTGGTTCTTCATTCTGCTAAAATATTTATAAATAAACTCTCCTCCGATCAGTGCCTGGCGCCTCTGCAGAGACTGCTAACAGCAGAATCAGTCTGCACCGGCTGCGATGATGGGTTTGGGAAGCAGACACCTGTCTGCTAGGAAGTAACTGAACTCCTCCTACCTCCAAACTCACTTTATAATACTACCTGACAGCTGCACTGTGGGCTTTGAGTTTCACTCCTTACCAAACCAGGTCATGTTCTATTCGGTGAGCCAGAGGTGAAAGGCTTTGTATATTCTTACTCATATCCTCCCTGAGCCATCCTGCCCCTACAAATGAGTAAAGCAGGTCAAAAAATTTTCAAACAAAAATGTTCATTTTTTGAAAACAGACCATTTTTCTAAAAAAAAAGGCTAACAAATTGTCAATATTTTTCATTTTGTGTGTGAATTTCTTACCTTTTTTCTATATTTTAATTGAAAACATTATCAAAATGGTAATCAGACCTATCCATTTACTGAAGATTTGGTTTTCAATAAAAATCTGGGGCAAAACGGCGCATTTACAAAAATAGGCATTTTTCAGCTGCATAAGGCCCTGATCCTGCACCATTAAAGTCAATGGGAGCTTTGGCATAGAGAGGAAGGATGGCTCAGTGGTTACAGTACTAGCCCGGGACTTGGCTTCAATTCCCTAGTCTTCCAGAGACTTCCTGTATTGCCTTGGGCAAGTCACTTAGTCTCTCTGTGCCTCAGTTTTCTATCTGTAAAATGGGGATAACAGTACTTCTTTACTTCACAGGGGTGTTGTGAGGATAAATACATTAAAGATAAGGCACTCAGATACTAAGGTAATGTAAATACCTGAGATAGATGACATGCTATTAATTTAGGGATTGATCTATCTAGTGTGCTTTTGCATACAAAGATTACTAGCTTGTTTAGAAGTCCTCCACTTTCCTTATAAAGGAAATATTTGATAATTGGTTCTTCAATCTACCAGAGAAAGATATAACAAAATCTAATGGCTGCAAGTTGAAGCTAGACAAATTGAGACTGGAAATAAGGTGTAAATTTTCACCAGTGAGGGTAATTAACCATTGGAACACCTTACCAAAGGTCATGGTGGATTCTCCATCACTTACAATTTTAAAATCAAGATTGGATGTTTTTTCTGAAAGTGATGTTCTAGGAATTGTTTGGGGGAAGTTCTCTGTTCTGAGTTATACAGGAGGTCAGGCTAGATGGTCACAATGCTCCCTTCTGGGCTGGGAATCTATGAAAAGGTCCTGGTTCCAGTGAACTGAGGGTGATGAACCAGGTATCAGACACTAGACCCTCTTCAGTGTGTCAGGGCTTTAGGTTCACCTTTGAACCAAGCTCATTTTATAGGGCTGTCTCTAAATTTTTGGCATTATTTAATGCAGCAAAGCACATGCGATAAAGGAGGAAAAACGCTTAAGTCATTCTGGAGTGACTCACTCCTCATCCTGATCAAACACCAAAGCTATTATTTTCATTTTTCCATAGGAAAAAGCAAACAGGTCTGATGTACGATATCTTGAGGACAGGGAATAAGAATGTGAAATGAATTTATTCAAGCGATAAAAGCTGCCGGTGGGGATGGACACAACGCAGAGCTATTCTTTATTGGCCACAATCTGTATTTTCATTATTTTGGGAGCTCTCAATTTGCTGTCTCCACTACCTGCTGATGGCACACTTGTCTTTCCATTGTGTTAGCATCTTCCTCACTTAGCCATGTAAAAGGGATCTGTTTGTTTATTGCACTAGGGCTAGGATGTGAAATTCATTCTAAGGAGAGAGCTGGATTCCATGTTAGTTGTGGTCCATGGAGCAACGTATAAATGTAGGACTACATGCTACCCCCAATCCACAGCAGATCTCCCACTCATGCCAATGGGAGATTTGCACAAAGATCAAGGGTAGAATATGGCTGGTACGTAGTAACAAAGTTTGAAGCTATTACTATTATTTATAATTTGTTCAGTACCTTAATGTCATATTCACCATCGCTCATTCGGAAAATATGGTCACCCACAGGAGCGCAACCATTTTTGCCCTTTTTACTCCTCCTCTCTCTGTTTTGCTCCTTCTCCCTTATCTTCTATCTCACTTCTTTTCTTACCAATGCAGTTTCCTTCCTTACAGCAATTCCCACTTCACACAGGGCTTCACACTCCCCATTCCATCTACTAAAATGATCAACAACAAAAGAGTTAATGTTGACATTTAAACTACCATCATTGGGCTGTAGCGCCAACATCCCATTAGGATTAACGGACGGTGGGGCAGTTCACACCTTTGAGATTTAGGAAGATATCACTGCCTCTGTTTACACACCCTTCATTTTTGGAAACCATGAGAGCTAGGGTGAAAAAATGTTATTAAAGCATATATTTTGCAGAATTTGTATATGTCCTGTCATGCAGCCAGCAAAATATATCAAATGTGCACATGTCTGACGCTTCTACACTAGGGAGCTCACTTGGCTTGCCATGAAGGATGCTTGTATTCATTGCACTAGAGCAGTGGTCTCCAACCTTTTTACGCACAAAATCACTTTTTGAATGTAAGATCAACCCAGGATCTACCTCGCCCCTTCCCAGAGGCCCCGCCTCACTCACTCCATGCTCCCCTCCCTCCGTCGCTCACTCTCCCCCACCCTCACTCACTTTCACCCGGTGTGGGCAGGGGGTTGGGGTGCAGGATGGGGTGCAGGCTCTGGGCTGGGGCTGAGGGGTTCGGAGTGTGGGAGGGGGCTCCGGGCTGAGCCTGGGGCAGAGGGTTGGGGTGCAGGAGTGAGGGGTGCAAGATCTGGGCGGGAGTTTGGGTCCAGGCGTCATATGGTCACACTGCACCTAATCTCATAGAATCCACTGGACATTTCATGAGTTTTACTTTTTATTAGTGTTGTTTGTGGTTTATAGATCCAAAATCCTTCAGGGATTGTCACAAATCAATGTAACATTCTCAACTGTGGGGTGTGCATTTGCTGAGCCTGGGGCTAGGGGTTGAGGTGCAGGAGTGAGGGGTGCAAGCTGTGGGCAGGAGTCTGGTGCAGGAGGGGGTTTCGGGCTGGTGCAGGGGAATTGGGTGCAGGAGGGGGTGCGGCGTCTGGGAGGGAGCTCTGGGCTGGGGGTTGAGGTGCAGGAGGGGGTTTAAGGTGCAAGTTCTGGCTGTGAGGCACTTACCACAGGCGGCTCCCGATCGGCGGCGCAGTGGGTCTCATGCAGGCTGCCTGCCTGCCGTGGCCCCATGTCGCCTATAAGCGCTGCCCCCACAGTTCCCATTGGCTGGTTCCCCGCCAATGGGAGCTGCAGGGACGGTGCTGGGTGTGGGGGCAGCGCGTGAAACCACCTCACCCCTCCCTGCCTTCCCCCAGGGGCCTGCACGCAGAGACATGCCAGCAGACAGCTGCTTCTGGGAGCGGCATGTGGCCATGGCAGGCAGGCAGCCTGCCTGAGCCCGCTGCACCACTGGACTTTTAGCAGCTCGGAGATCGCTGCTAAAAGGATCAGTGACCACTGTTATAGATGGTCTTCTAGTTAAGTCATTGGGAAAGTCACTTTAATTTCTCTCTGCCTCAGATCCCCATCTGCAAAGTGGGGGAATAATGATATTCCCTTTGTCTGTCTTGTTTGTTGAGACTGCAAGCTTTTCAGGGCAGGGACTGACTGTGTGTGCATGTACAGCACCTGGCACAGGAGGGTCCTGACCTTAGTCAGAATATCTCGGGCTTCCCTCTGCCTTCAGTTTAAGTTCTGTTTGTCCACGAAAACCCATATTTTAACGTGATACAACAGACTAATGCTTGGACATAAAGCTCTTTTTGAATATAGAAGGGGCCTGGTAAATGAATTGGCCTATTAAAAGGGCCAATTTATGGCACATCGAGGTTTGAAACTTTGCCTCCTTTGTTGCCGGGGCACATTGGGAACTCTTGCACTAGCGCAAATTAGAGATGGGCCAAACCTGCAGCCCCCATCCCAAAATCCACAAACTTTGGGAGAGTTCAGATTTGCATCAGAACTTTGCAGCTCTGGCCTGTCACCGACGCTAAGGCAGTTGATGTGCTGAGCCACTGCCTCTCATTGGTTCCTTCTGTCTGTATCCTGCTGTTGTCTCGTGTCTTGTACCTAGACTGTAAGCTCTTAGGGAGGACCATCTTTTTGTTCTGTGTTTGTACAGTGCCTAGCCCGGGGGGTCCTGATCCTTGACTGGGGCTTCTAGGCGCTACTGCAGTACAAATAATCAGAATAATTAATTATGATGGTGCATTTTTCTGTAAAGCTTTGGTATTGGGAAATCCCCTCCCCCTTCCCAAGGCCACCATTCAAGCATGAGGAAGCCTCCACTGGCTCTGTGAAGGTAGAGGTTGGTTTTATTGTTTTCGAGATGGCTTCTTGTGGCAAGTGCCTGCAGTGGAGAGAAGATATGGGGACAGAGCATTTTTACAGCCTTCATATAATGGCATTCCATTCGGGGAAACCCCTGTGAGAACAGTGAGAAGATCCCTGAGGGAAGAGCTGTTAAATGCCTTTGTCACTTAAATGCATTTAAACATTGTGTTTAAATGATGGCAGAAGGAGTGAAATTAACTCCCACTGTGGCTCAGCCTCCCCTACACTGCATCCTAAAAAGCCTACAGTCTTCTCCTTGTCAAAACCAATCGCCCTCCCATAACCCCTCCTGTCACTTTAATGCAGATGAAAAGCAAGAAAGCATTAATTAATTATCTTTAAAAAAAACAAAACGGAGAATGTTGGCGTCAGCAAGCACACTTGTATGGTATCATAATAACAATTCAATGCAAATCAGAATAGTGATTGTTTTTGTAAAGCACTTTTCATACTTGGGGTATCCCAAAGTGCTTTACAATAATTATTTCAATATGGGTAGCGCTGCAGTTGCGTGGGCAAACAGCAGCCATTGTGCAATCAGTGAGAGCTCTCATACAGCTTTGGACCTGTTTTTATGGCAAATGCAAAGTGCTATGGGATCTTTACCTTAAATTGGAATGGCCATCAGAGCAGACATCTGTTTAATGTCTCATCTGAAGGTCCTGTTACTGGAACATGAACTTGTGACCCCCTCTGACTGGGAAACTGAAGTGCTGTTGCCTGAGCCATATTGACACTTCTGCTTATCACAGCCACACAAGGACAACCTGACACAGAGAGACCAAAAGGACTGTAAAAGAAATAGGCATGAAAGAGACTTGAATGTATCTTAGCCACATCACCTGCCCTCCATCCAAAATCATTAATAGCTACCCCCTCCCTGGGGTGTATATTATGTACTGGTGGCATATATGCATCCTGTGGGGGTCTCTCCCTGTGAAATGGCAGCTGTTGCAACAACATAAAGGAGACCTGTACAACAGCCCTTTAACAGGGCCTTCTATAAGTATACATGGTGATTGGCCATGTTAAATCCCTGGTGTGGAGCTCTGGGAGGGAAATAGGAAAGAGGGAAGGTGTACAAACTGGACTGTCTTTTTTATTCTGTGTTTGTACAGCTCTAGCACAGAGGGGTCCTGGATCAGTTCTGCAGCTTCTAGGCACTACTGTAATACTAACCGTAAAAATTAATGAATACATACTGCTGTCTTCTAGAGCATGGGTTCTCCTGGCTGAGACCCATGGTCTGGAACATGGTGGTGTGCGTGAATTAATTAATTCAAGGGGGCAGCTCGCAAATAGGTATCAGGATGTCATGACCCTGCCCTTACCAAAGGCTAAATGGAAGAGGATTTTTGGTAAAGGGGCCGTGGAAAAGGTTAAAAGCCACTACTGTTAAGTCCACATCACCGACTCCAACCTAACAGGAGGAACAAACATGATTCTCCTCCCTCTTTGAGCCCAAACACCTGAGCTCCAGTGATTGAAAAGCTCCTGGTGATAAGTGGAGGCAGACACACCTACTCTTCTCACTGTCACACAGGCATGGCTGCTGCTTCTGCTCTGTGGTGGTAAAAGGGAGGATGGGGAATCCAGTTGGAACCTTTTTTGTGATGGTGGTATTAGCTGGTTAGAAGCAGCAGGCTTAACCCTTTCTTTCTCAGTTCTAAAGAAGGTCATTCATCTCCCTTAGCTACCCTTCCACCCTCCCGACAACTGCATTTCTTTCTTGTCCTTGGATTCTAGGCAAACCCCTGTCACACTTAACAAACCCTCTCATACAGAGTCAGCCTGTGCTCTGCTGCGCTTTCCAGGGCGAGGAGCCATTGTTATATAACATACAAAAACCTCGGTTTCCTCTTTCTCTCTGTCAGTCTCCTTCTCTCTGTCTCCAAGCATCTGTCTGTCTGTCTCTCTCTCTCTCTCTTTGGCTTGCCAGTTCTCATTAGCCTGGAAATGAAGTGGAAAGTAATAAGGGCAGGACAGCTGTCTCCGTTCTTGCTGACCAGTTTAATGGGCCTCTGATTTCATCTTACAGACATTATGTGAGCTTCCTTCCAACTCTCCCCTGCCTCTCACTGGTACACTGCTGAAGCCCGTGTGTGTGCACTGTACACTCATGCGCACACACAGACACCCACATACAAAGGTTCCTCATGTGGTACAAACTCTTGGCATCTGCAAATGGTCTTTTCCTGCTAGGATGCTGCTGCAGACACACAGGCTTAGATTTGCTGTAGGGGTATATCTGAGCAGGGCTTGTTCTCTCTGTTGATTAGGGAGAAGAGTTCAGCAGGAGTTTCTTTTGGAAGAGTGACTTTTTCCTGTGCTCTGGAAAAATGTTGCCACCACAACACAGCCCCTGGAGCCTGCCTTCTGTAGGCAGACATCCCTAGTGTCAAGCTTTGGTAACTGGCCAGTCCTCCACTGTATTTATCATTGTCTGTCCAGCACCACAGTCATAGCAACCACTGTCTCACCATTCCCTTGGATGTAGCATGTAGTGAAGGGTCCCTGACTGGCGTGGGAATGGGTTGCAGGACCCAAGGTCAGCAGAGGAGATTGGGGTCTGGAAGACTTGTGCTGGGGCACTAAATTATATTACCATAAACTCACTCCTCTTTGTCTTGATGAAGCTGTTATAATGAACATGTGGCCCACCTGGAGTGCGCCTTGGTGGAAATCAAGCTGCACAAATCTCACTTTACTTACCTTTGTGAACATATCTCCTGTCTCAAAGAAAAAACAAATCCTATAAGAAAATAGGCTGGAGTTTGGAGTGGCAGCACCATCCTGTAGGCAGGCGTATGTCAATAGCAGGTTTTGACTGACTTCAATTGGATTATGCGCCTCTTAGCTTATTTTTCAGAACACTTGCCTGTGAACCCTAGCGGAAGCTGGGTTCTACACCCTGCCTGTGGATCAGTCATTATGGCCTGTGCACCTCCCTACATTTCAGGAGATACATTATGGCCTCCTTGTGACTGTGTCTATATCTATTGAAAAAAATAAACTTTATACCAGTGCCTGGTGATTCCTGCTCCTTTGTTCTTGGTGCCCCGAATGACAGGTCCGTTTGGAATGGGGCAGATGAACCAGCAGATGCTTTGTATGCAGTGTAAAACTCCCGTCATTTGGGTGCATTAAGATAATTGCACCAGGGCATCACAACTGAGATTCTTACTTCCGGACTCTAAGGAGGGTGACCTAAGCCCAGCTACGGGCAACCCTCATATTTGGTTGCTTTATGCAGTTTTCCTGTTTTTTGCTTTTTTGCTTTTTTTTTGGCTGTACTAACTCCTTGTTTTCTCTTTCTTTGTAGCTAGAACACATTCAGAAACACATATGGTATATGTAAGTAACATTTTTAAAAATCTTATTTACTGTCTTCAATATTGTTGCTGTTGCAGGGAGCTGGTAATCTAGAAATCTGTGAAATGGATAGACTTGGATGACATGAAAACAGCTTCCCTACAGGCATGGGCCAGGAGGTGAAAGAAGGAACATCCAGTGAAGATGAAGTTTTAGCCTATGCAGTGAATACAGTCTCCTCTGTGTAGATTCAGGCTAGGGACTCTCGTATACAGGAAAAACCTATGTGGCAATGGTTTGAAATAGGCCCTATTTAACTGTGTGCCACTTTCCATACCAACATATTGCTGTTTTTTTTCTGAAGGTACTATGCCTGAGAGGGTAATTCCTGGGTGAACAGCAAGGGACTAGCAGACACACTTACCTGGATACCCAAGTAACTGCAGGGAATCCCTAGCAAAATCTTAGTAAAACCCTCTTGACAGGCAGACTTTCATGGGTTCCTCTCTGGCATTTGTGGCTTTTCTCCAAATAGGGGGAATAATGAGAAAAATTATTAGAAAATAAGTTTTTGTAAACAATCACCTACTTCGTAGGCCTTCTTCCCCCTTCTTTACAGTAAATTAAGAGGCTGGCTCATGACCTCATAACCTGCTGATGAGTGATAGTTCCATGGCTTGACTGACAGCAGCAGCCTCACGCCGTGGAAAAAGAAATCTATAAAAAAAGGCGATTCCCTTCTGATGATTTGAGAGCATGGAAGACTGCTGGCTTTTTAAAGTGACCTTGCATTTTTGTGTAACTCTAACAGTCCTTCGTGAAACACTGATAAATAGGACTTTTGCTTTATACTGATGATATCCCAGTAAGACTAAAAATAATCCTTTGCAAGTGATAAACAAGAAGGTGGTGCTTTGAAACACACCTCTGGGTGGTCAGCACATCTGGAAGTTCCCTGCGTGTATGCTGTAGAAAGCCTGGTCTCGATAGCCTTGCCACCACTGCTTACGAGATGTTTTGTAGGATGCTGTTGTTCCTGTCAGTCATTTTATTTTTTAAGCCTTTCATCTGGGGACAGCCTATTAATGATTTTTCCTATGATTTTATTGTATGGGCATTATTCATGCACTGGGCTCAGTTGACTTCCATGGGAGTTGAGGATGTTCAGCAATCTGCAGGATCACATGTTTTGTTGCTAGCTGGCCTGAACTGATGTAGCACTGTGTCCGCAGCTTTTTCAAGCTCTCTGGAGTTGTCAGTTGACATGATGCTTTTTAATATCCAGGAAGATTTGGGGTTTTATAACAGAAGGGTTTTTGTTTGTTTGTTTTAAACCATCACTGATGATCGTATGCCAAATTGAAAAAAGAATTTAGTGTTATTCTCCCACACTGTGCCCCCAAACCAAATCCCACCCCCTGAGATTCCAAACTAAAATGCTGCTTATGATAGATTGTGCAGATGTTCATAATGTGATCATCCCACTTGTTTCTTGCATGCTCTGTATGGAATGACATTAGCTGATTGACATCCCTTTTCCTTCTTTCTTGCATGCTTGGATCTGAAATGAAATTCTTAGAAGTTAAATTAAATTTTTATGATCATTTATATTTTCGTAGTAAAGCGTAAGTGTTAACGCCCCAGTGAGATTCAAACTGTTCATACCTCACGAAGCTATCGTTTCAGATTATCTGCGCACTCAGAAAGATAACACTGCATCACTTTAAACGAGGGTCACAGTTTCAAGATTTTATTTTGCAGCTATAAAAGTTAGACTATTTTCTTTTTCAATGAGGGCCCAATTCTCCACTAACTTGCACCTAATGGAGTCATTCTCACCTGTGAAAATGGAGCATAAAACTACCATTCTGATCGAGCAGTGTTTAATGTCCTCTTTGCACTCACTTTGCATGGTCTATCGATGCTAACAAGAAGAGAGTGGCTGTAGACAGAATTGTGTGTAAAGACCACAAGCTTTGCGAAGCACTTTAGGCTTCTATCTATTTGATTTAATGCACATTACAATCCAATATAAAACCTTTATTCACAGCCATGGATAGTTTAAGATGGCCGATGAGTGACTTGAAACTTGTACTCAGTGCTTGAGAAGTGGTTTCACTTAATTCTTTAAATGGATACTCATGGTCATGTTAATCTATGAAAAACATTTACTTGTTAAGAATAATCATGCACCTGCGTGCACGCACACACACACACACATACACACACCCTGAAAGTTCCTGGAGCACAAGTTCCTTCAAAAGAAAGTACTCACTCACCAAGCTGTCACATATTGGTCCAACTTGCCCCCTACTAATGTGATAGTCAACAGACTCAAGTGTTTCAGAGGGATTTTTTTTAAACTGAGATGTTTTCCAAAATGCAGCTAGATTTTGTGACAGAAGATTTTTGACCCAAGACATATCTTGCTGAAAATCAGCAGATGAGCATCACTTCTTTTCACCTTTGCCAATAAACCAAATGGATGGATGAGATGAGCTATCATGGCACATCCAGAGTTATAATGGCACAACCAGAAGGTGCTAGGTTTACTAAAAAAAAAGGGAAATTAATGGTACTACACTGGACCCTCACTAGAATGTGCGTCTATATAGCGCAAATTTGTATATAATGCAGTCGTGGCCATGGATCCCAAATTTAATTACTTTAATTGCAATTCATTTTAACGCGGTCCCCACATTAACGCGGTACTGTGCATGGATCCCAAATGCCGTATTCTAGCGAGGGTCCAGTATAATTCTGATATGATTAGCACCTGTGTAATTCCATTGAGTTTACACAGAAGTGAGATCTGAATCAGGTTCATTGTGTGTATCAGTGAGATTCAGGTTAGAAAATTTGTGAGAAGGTTTGAAAAGCCTACCATGAGTTGGAATCATGTCCATTGCATGTACCATCACTCATAAGGGTGGAAGTATTTGTAAAGCAGCATTACTTTCAATTGACCTTTTAAAAAGTATGTGCGATTTATAGCAGTCATCCTGTGACATGGTTTGACATGCACGTGAGCTGAAGTGCAACAAATTTGTCATTTGCTTCGGACGGGGAGGAGAACAGACAATACGGTAATGCCAATCATAGCACAGAGCTGGTGATTTTCATTACCTGAAGCAGTGAAAGCCTTGCAGGTGATGTGCAGTTTCGTCACAGATTTTTCATTTACTTGATGAAGAAGTCTGAAAGTTTGTGAGTATATATACAGCCTGACTTTGTCTGATCATGATCAGGTTCAGATCACAAGGAGAGGGCACTCCATGGTGCACAAAAGATAGCCACCAGTGCTCTGTAGGCATGGCTCATTGCCTGCCATAAACTCTAATGTAAATGAAGCTTTGCGATGGCGCGCTGCAACCGATTAGGGATACTGGCTGGAAATGCAAATTCTCAGGTGATTTTGGAAAATATTCATTTCTTTTTCATCCCTGTTAATTACACTGAGGTTATCTTCTGGTAATATAATGAACGTTTAACTGAGCCAATCCTGACAGTCAGGAACTTCAGGCAGATGAAACAAAAGCCACAGCTGCCTAAGAGGTAAGTCCTGCAGGCACCTACTACTGGGCACTTGATCCCACATAGCTCACTGAAGTCAATGGCAACATTTTCATTTACTTTAATGATTGAGGGTCAGAGACACAGTGCTTACTCATTTACTGTTCTAGGGCTAGATTCTGATAATCCTTCCTCTCCTTTCACAATGACTTACTCCAGGAGTAGTGCCATTGAAATGATTAGGACCGCTCATTGAGTAAGGTATTACTCAACATGATCAGGTGTATCAGAATCTGACCCTCAGGATCAGAATTCTGGTACCTTTATTCTTGCTGAGGAGTACCTTACTCCACAAATAATCCCATTGACTTCCATAGGATTTTTAGGTGGAGTAGGACTCTACTCAGCCAAAGAAATTGGGTCAGAATCTGACCCTGAATGAGTAGTCTCCATGAAGTCTGATCCTATTTACACTAGTGAAAATCCAGAGGGCAAGATTCTGTTTCCTTTCCTTGTGTTAAGTAGTCCCTTATTCCATGGAGAGCGCCACTGAAATAAATGGGACTGCTCGATGTAAAGGAGATAAAATCTGGTCCATGCTGATTTAGTGTTACTCTGGATTTATACCAATGTAAGTAATGGCTGTATCTGTCCCCAGTGAAACTACTGATGGTAGTTAGTATTACGGGCTAGATGGTGACACCCTTACTCGCACGGCTAGCTGTGTCTCACCTCTGCTTGACTTCATTGACTCACAGAGTAGCCCCCTCATTGACATTCCCATTGACTTCACTGGGATTATTTGAGTAACGGCTCACTCATGTGAGAAAGGCTTCACAACCTGGCAGTAAGCACCTGCAGGATTAGGCCTTGAGTGTGTTTTGTGTAAACTGGCTTTACCTGTATCTGCTGCACTGCATCTGTTGAGTACTCTTTTTCCAGAGCTAAAAAAAATGGTTACTCCGAGATGGGAGAGAGAGTAAGAATCCCATGCAAGTCTTTCCAGGTGCGTTCAGAGATCTACGGTAACACATCCAATCTGTGAACCACTGCAGAGGATACATCTTTGAAATGAATTTTAGCTGCCTCAGTGGGCTGGATTGGCACCGTACCCCTGGCACTGACCAAGGTGCAGCCCATAGCTGCACTGCCCCAGCACACAACAGAGGCTGAATTGTGACTCTGAGTCTCACAGTTCAGTCTCTGCTTTGCTCTTGCTCCCTCGCGGGAAGTAAGCTGTACCTGCCCTTTTCCTGGCACAGCCTGCTCCCTACTCAGCGCTATGCTCCGCTGCTCTGGCCGGTGCCTTGAAGAGTGGAACCTCTCTCCACTCACCTGTTCGGCCTTATAGTGACTGCCATGTCCTGTGCCTTGTGACCTGCAATGGAGGTAGCCCATCCAGGCACTAAGTGCGCACCTGGCACCCCAGCCCTTTCCTGTGTAGATGCATGGACCACCACAAGCCCAGAATGGGTTAAATTGCGTGACTATTTGTAGAACGTTTGGATTATTTCCTCCAGCCATCAAAGGGAAAATTCTGCCCCCAACTCCGCATGCCACAAAGGGCACGGAGGGACATTTGGTGCAGGTTCCTGTAGCCCACAGTGGGGAGTCTGTACCACGTGTGAATTCACTGCCCATGCCCCTCCGCTGCATAAGGAAGGGAGACCACCATACAAAAAGGCTATTGTAGTCCTGAGACTGCCATGGCATGCATAGAGCCTCTCGAGAAGGTGCAGGATTTTTCCCTGCCCAACTCCTGCAAGAACTCCAGCACCAAGTCCATCTGTCTGAACTTGGTACAGGTTACAGGATTCGATGCCCTGTGAATGAACTCAAAGGATGCTCGATGTGCTTTTTATTTTATTATATTATTCTGTCTACTATATCCGGAACGAAACCTTGGCATGTTAAGTATAGCCAGAGTTTTTTGTTGCAGTGAATAATCAATATTTCCTGCTTCTAGTGAATGAAATGAGACGGTTATATAAGAAGCTTGTTTTAGTCATCTTTTAAAAAGTATTGTGCTCCTGTTACTGATTGCTTTTGTATTCCCACCTCTGCCACTGACCAGCCATCTGACCTTGGGCAAGTCCTTTGGGCCAGAATTTTCAAACGTGGGTGTCTAAAGATGGGTATCTAGGGGTACATCTACACGGCAATAAAACACTTGCAGCTGGTCCGTATTCACTGACTTGGGCTCACGGGGCTCGGGCTGTGGGCTATAAAATTGCAGTTAGATGTTCGGGCTCAGGATGGAGACTGGACTCTGGGATCCCATGAGGGAGGCATGTCCCAGAGCCCAGGCTCCAGCGTAAGACTGAATATGATCACTGCAATTTTATAGCCTTGCAAGCCCAAGTCAGCTGACACAGGCCAGCTGAGGGTTTTTTATTGCGGTATAGACACACCCTAAATGCGTATTTAGGTACCTAAATAAAAAGCATAGTTTTTAGAAAGTGCCTAGCCTTTGAACATCAGGCCTATTTAAGATTTCTCAGGTTGGGCACCAGAAAATTGAGGTACCCTAAATCACTTTGGAAAGTTTGGACCCCTATAGGACTGCTCTGAAGCTCATTTCTATTAAAATTAGGGATGGGTGATGTCAACTTGTTCACAGTTCAAACTTTGGGAGGAAGTTGTTCAACTTCACTTAGCCCAAGATCTGATCTGCTCATGACGCAGCACCTCTAAGTGGAGTGATTTATAACTGTACGATATCAGGACACTAAGGCTTTGGCTACACTTGCAAGTTAGAGCGCATTAAATCAGCCCCGGGCGCCCTAACTCCTGAGGTGTCCACACTGGCAAGGCATTTAGAGCGCCCGGACTCTGCAGCTGGAGCGCTCCTGGTAATCCACATCCGCGAGAAGCATAGAGCTTGCTGTGCCTTGGCTGAAACGCTGGGGTATCAGTATGGATGACGTGTTGCATTACTGCGCTGTGATTGGCCTCCAATAATCCCTTGAAGTCAAGTGGCCACTCCGGTCATTGTTTTGAACTTGGCTACAGGCATGCAGCTATCCCCTTTCAAAGCTGCATTTCTTACAGCCGACATGCTTATCTGTTCCGGGACACAAAGCAACCATTACTGTGGAATGCGCCTACTGCAGAGACAGGTGTTTGTGCATGTGTGAGAGAGAGAGGCGGGGGTGGGGGCATATGTCGGGGTTTTCCCCCTGCCACTGTGGGAACTTACAAGACAGCATGCTGACACACTCTCTGCCCCCAAAAACACACTGTCTTTCCCCTCACATACACACAACACACTCCCTGTCACACTCCACCCCTCCCATTTGAAAAGCACACTGCAGCCACTTGCACACTGGGATAGCTACCAAAATGCATTGCTCTCTGTGATGTTGCAAGAGCTGCTAATGTGGCCACGCCACTGCGCTTGCATTTGACAGTGTAAACACACGGCAGCGCTTTCCCTGCTGCGGTCTCAGAGGGCTGGTTTAACTCCCGGCACTCTACATCGGCAAGTGTAGCCATGCCCTAAGCAGCTGCTAGTTCGTTTAGGGTTGGTACGATGGGAGCTCTTGCTGCCTTTCTGCCCAAACAGGGAAGTTTCTCATTACAGGCCCAATCCTGCAAGATGCTGATCACTCTCAGCTCCCATTGAACTTGTCCTGAAGGGAATTTCTATCTGCCTTGCAAGGCCAGACATATCAATGGAATTTTGACACTCTTTTTCCATTTGTTGTTTTAGCCTCTATCTCAGAGCAAGGGTTTCACTTGTTCACCTCTCTCTCTGTGTCTCTGTCTCTTTCTCTCTCAATTACAGAGGGGGTAAGAATGAACCAGAACCGGAACAACCAATTCCTCGAAAGGTGCAGATTCGTTCTCTCCCTTCCCTGGAGGACATTGATCCAGACGTGTTAGACAGCATGCACTCGTTAGGCTGCTTCCGCGACCGAAATAAACTCTTACAGGACCTGTTGTCAGAAGAGTAAGCATTCACTCAATCTTAACATCGATTTGGTGTCAGAGGCGATTAGAAATGGGATATGGAACCTTTTATTTCTAGAGCACTGATGGCCCCGATTGGGAGGGACCGATAGTCATTTCTCCTGCCCCAGCTGTTCAGTGGAAATGAGTTGGGAGGGAGCGGGAGGTCTCAGTGTATTTCTTAAAGTATAGGTGCCCCTCTATCACATAAATTACCATCGCAACTGACATCCTTGTTAGAGAGATCAAGGGCTGAATGGCCCATGGAGGGTAGAATTGCCTCTCTCAACCTCCAGAGTTGATATCTGCAGGTGAGGATTCACATACGTGGGCAGGACAGCGTGGGGAATTTGCACGGTTACTGCCTGTGCGGTGCCTGCATCTGTTGGTAAATAAAAGACTTCAGTTTCCAGAGCTGTGCCAGCTTTCCTAAGCATTATGAGGGATCATCTAGTGGGCACCAGACTAGGACCCAGGAGATCTAGCTTCAGTTCCTGACTCAGACACAAACTTCCTGTCTGGCCTTGGGCCATTCATTTATATTTACCCTGTGCCTCAGTTCCTCATCTGTACAATGGTGGTACACCTGCCTTCCTCAGAGGGGCCTTGGAGGATCAAATCTATTGATGTTATCAAGGCATTCAGATAATATGGTGCCGGGGGCCAGATAAGAAAAGAGATAATTAGATTTGGGTTATTTAGAACATTTGTAACTATTGCGTTTGATGAGGGAACGGTAATCTGCATTTTTTTTCTCTGGCATCTGCAGCAAGTTAGAAGGTTTCTCCCTTCATTTATTTTTTTCAGAGAAAACCAAGAGAAAATGATTTATTTTCTTCTCCTTGATCGGAAAGAGAGGTATCCCAGTCATGAGGATGAGGACCTGCCCCCTCGGAATGAAATAGGTATTTCAAACGGGGTCCCAGTCACCTTTGACCCATTTCAGTCTGTCCCTCTTGGCTTTATCTTCCTATTGTTAGCATTCTCTCTCCCCTTTCCACTGAAACAGGCTATGATGGTACTAATGTTCTCTGAGGCTCCAGCAGCCTGGGGAAGTCAGCTCTGCTGTTGAGCTAAACGTAAAAGGTCTGCTTCTCAGCTACGTGACTAAGGCCCTTTTACACCTCTCTGGCAGTGTAACAGGCCTTTGTATTTGCGTTAGAAAGGTTTTATCAGCCTGAAATACAGATGACCACGTTATAGTTGCACAGGCCGTACAGAATGAGTTCCGCTGCAGTATTTATATATTAAAGATATTTTAGAACAATTTTCAAACATGTTTACTGGGCTTACATATTGTATCCTTTTGTCTGTATAGCCAGGTGCTCCTTTACCACTATAGTGCTCTTGTAGTACTATTGTTACTTATTATTTGCATTGTGAAGCCGCAGGCAGAGACCCCACTGTGCTAGATGCTGTACAAACACAGAACTAAAAGACATTCCTGGCTCCAAAGAGCTTGCAGTCTAAGTCAGGGGTTCTCAGCCCTTTTCTTTCTGAGGCCCCCACAATGTGCTAATAAAACTCCACGGCCCACCTGTGTCACAACAACTGGTTTTCTGCATATAGGGGGTAGCAAGCAGGGCAATTGCCCAGGGCCTCACATCATAATGGGCCCCGCGTAGCTAAGTTGCTCAAGCTTCAGCTTTGGCCCGGGTGGCAGGGCTTAGGGAGGTGGAGCTTTGGCTTTCTGCCCTGGGCCCCAGTGAGTCTAATGCCAGTCCTGCTCGGCAGACCCCCTGAAACCTGCTCACGGCCCACCAGGGGGCCTCAAACCTCTGGTTGAGAACTGCTGGTCTAAGTGACTTCAACTATACATGACTCAAAGGGAATCAAAAATATGTAACTATTAAAATTTTAGAAAAGTACCTGAAATAGCATTGTTGGTCATAGTAGTGTTGTGTTTTTAGATCTAGTATCTCATGACCTTCAGGGCTAGAAGCAAGTGCTGCCTATCCCATTGAAATGCTTGGACTCTCCCAGTCCTTCTGTGTGATGAAATATTGAACTTTAAATCTGTCACTGCTCCAAGACTCATGCCCTGGGCCTCAGGTCTGTGCAGTTTTTCCAAGACATCTCATATGTGGAGGAAACTATAAAACACTTACCTGGCAGGCCGATTTTTAACAATGTCACCTGCTTGAAGCTGCAGGGAGTTTGGAACGTTAGCATGCTCCTGCTGGAGATGGGTTAGTAGGCAGAGTGTAGGTAATGTGGTCAAAGATGCCTGATAAATGCAGTTTATCACATGGTTCTGTAATTTATCTATTTAATCACATGTACAGTATATCACTACCACATAAGTTTTGTGTGTATGTGTATGTCTGTGTATTCCTGTCTTCCTACAGTGGCTCGTTGACTTTTGACTTAGATAGATGATTTTGCAACACAGAGACAGGGCTCACCAAAATACTTTTGCTACTGAACCGTAGTAGCAGAGGTGATTGAATCATTACCTCCAATGCGGAAGTGAATGCAAAGCCATGCCCTAACTATGTCATATACCTCTTCTCCCATCTCCCAATCCTGTACCTCCCACAACATTTTCACTTGCTGGTTCAAATACTGACCATCTGAATTGGAATTTTCTACACTGGGTGAGAAAGAGTTCCCCCATAGAGGTAGGCTATCTTTGAGCCAGAGATAGCACTGTGCTGTGATAGCACATTGTAGACTCCCCAAGCATTATTATTTGAGTGTTAGTAAGATCTACTTCCTTTCCCAGAGGGCGTTTCCATCTCCTCTGCTCCCAGCAGTGTCTCTGGAAACATGGGGCAAAGTTTAAGTAAGAGTAATCATGCTTCTGATGAATATCTCCTCATTAGCCACGAGCACTGACCTTACTCAAAGAGAGAAGAGGAAGGGCGAAGGGAAATGGTAATGGATTTAATCATAACTGCTCTGAGAGACCACGTTCCTCAGAGATGCGTGTTGCCTGAGCACTTGCCAAATAAAAGTACCTGCGCACATACTGAACTCTTCCTCTTTCTTTGTATGGTACAGCTTGGAAAGAATGGATGCAAGCTGTGAGCATAGGCTTCTGAATTCCAGTTGAAGCTAAAGGGGAGATCAGACTCTTATCTCAATAAACTACCCTTCCCTTCCTGGTTTCCTTTTTGTGTTTGTTTCACTCTGTGTGCAGATATCTCTTTCCCAGAGACGTAGGAGAAAGTTTTCTTTTTCATCATTTGAGGCAATGTTCTATTACTTTTCTCGCCACAAAGCTTCACAGGGAGCAGAAGTGCACAAGCAGGAAACCTTCCTCCTTTTGCTCTCCGCATTGCTGTGTAATCTTGTTTGTTGGTATTTTGTTAACACCAGTTTAGCTTCTGCGGGGAGGGCTTCTGTCCTCTGACGTTGTCGCAAATCGTACCTAAGAGGTTGGAAGCTGAGATACAAGCTGACAGATCTTCTCTTGTGTCAGAGGAACATTCAATGCAAAATGATGCTTTGAAGGTTAAATGGAAAATGTGGTGGAAGGATAGCTGAGGGGAGTCTGCAGGGCCAGCCCTCCTGTTATGGAGCCCTTTGTAAAGCAAAACATGTGACACAGCTTCCTCCAAATCTACAGCGGCACCTCCTCAACCCTGCATAACCATGACACGCTCCAGCCTGCCTCCAACTTGCTTTCAGCTGCCTTCAGCCTGTGGCAGGATAACTGTATTTAATTATTAGTGCAACTTGGTTACTACTTCTTCATCATCACCATCAATCATCATCACCTCAAAGGCAAATCCCAAAGGGATGTAGCCTACTTGCAGATTGAGCACACCACAGATTGATCTCTCGGTAGGTCCTTAAGACAGTGTGGCTGAATGTTTGGTCTGTGCCCATCCGTGGCATTCTTACACACCACCTCAGCTTTTGATGACAACCTCAGTGGCATCCTGTAGCAATATTCCTTGGTAAATATGCTTCATAGTTCATTGGTCTTCCATCCTAAGAATATGTCCATGCCAACATAGAAAGACACCAAACTAAAGTAAGACTCACTGACCTGTAATTCCCAGGATTGCTCAACATTTGCTGCCCTCCAACCCTCTGGTATAGTAACTGATTTTAAGGAGAGATTGAATATTTTAGTTAGCAGCTCAGCCACTTTATCCTTGTGTTCCTGCAGAAGTCTTGGGTATAACCCAGCCAAACCTAATGACTTGCTGTTGTTAGTTTTTGGACAGTTTCTTATCTTTAATATGTTTTAAAAAATAGGTAGATATCTCCCCAACATTTTATGTGGTGGAGTTTAATGCAAAGGAATCATTTAGTTTCTCAGCAATATCCTTATCCTCCTTAATTGCTCCCGTTACTCCCTGATGGGCCAGCTGACCTACTGTCCTGTCCACAAGCTTCCCGCTTCTGATATATTTGCAGGATGTCTGATAATTTGTATTTGTCTTTGGCTAATTGCTCTTCATAGTCTTTCTTAGCTCTCTCCTAACTCCCAGTTTACATTTGACTTGCCGTACTTAATGCTCCATGTTATGGGTGTCACTGGGTCTGGATTTCCATTTGCTGAAGCCTCCTATTTTGATCTGGTTTGGCTCAAATTACCCCTTGAATCTTGGCATTTGATTAGACTGGTTTTTTTCTTCCCTTCTTGCTTCCTTTGTTGTTGGGGGTTAGTCATACCTTATGTGACTCTGTTACTCTGCCAAAGTAACCCCCATGCCGCATTTGAGGATTTTCCTTTCCTTGCTTTTGAGTTAGCTTCTCTCAGACTGGCTTAATCTTTTATTTTATTTTTAAGTTTCCCTTTCTAAAGTTTAGTGTCCCCAGGCTAGTCTTTGATATCATCCCTTTGCTGAAAACATTGAACTTAATTAAATTCCGGTCACTGTTGCTTCGTGATTCAGCTACAATTACTTTTTGAACCAACAGTAGCATGTTACGTAAGACTAAGTGGAGAACAGCTTCTCTTCTCGACTTAGCTGTTTGAAGCTGCAATCATTAAAACTGTCAAGAAATTATTTCTGTAAACCCTGTCCCAATGTCACATTTGACCAGTTCATTTGTGTGCAGTTGAAGTCACTCACTGTTATTCCTGTATTGGATCTTGCTGCCTCTTTGATTTATTGGTTTGTTTTTCTGCTTCCTTTTTAACAGGAAACATATTATTGTTAATGATAAATATTAAAAATGATTAGAGGCCTCACACTGGTCCGACCCCATTGTGCTCCACGTTGTTTGCACATATAGTAAATAATAGTTCCTGTCCTATGGGGCTTACAATCAAGACATAAGAGAGAGATGAAACAAACAAGTGGGTGGAGGTAGCAGTGGAGGATGGGGTAACAAAAATAAACGGAGTATCAATATTGATTATGATAATTATTTTAATAATAATAATTAATAATTAATAGAAGTATCAGGAATGTTAAAACTGGGTTTCCGGGGAATAGCTCAGTGGTTTGAGCATTGGCCTGCTAAACCCAGAGTTCAATCCTTGAGGGGGCTATTTAGGGAACTAGGTAAAAATCTGTCTGGGGATTGGTCCTGCTTTGAGCAGGGGGTTGGACTAGATGACCTCCTGAGATCCCCTCCAATCCTGCTATTCTATGATTCTATGAAATACCAGATCTTTTGGTGGGGGAAGGGTCTCAGAGAATGTTTGTTGTGAGCTCTCCAATGGAAGAGGCAAACAATGTCCTCTCTCTAAGATATTCATTAGTCATTGGAATTAGATAGGGCTTTACAGATACAAACAAAAAGGATTTTAAAGAGCCTCACTTTAAAAAAAAAATCCCTTCTCCTCTCACTTGCTCAGCTGTCCTTCTCTGTATGGGTGTGCTACCATCAGAGTCAGGATCATCCAGTGATTAGGGCACTAGCTGGGGACTCAGGAGACCTGCACCACCACAGATTTCCTGTGTGACCTTGTGCAAGTCACTTAGGGCCAGATTTTGCAAGGTATTTAAGCAACTAAAGATCCAGATTTCCATGGGAATTAGGCACGTTGGTGCTTTTGAAAATCTCTCTAGGAACTTGTCTGCATCTTTAGGTGCCTAAATATCTTTAGAAATCTGGTTTCTAGTGCCTCAGCTCCCCATCTATGAAATACGGATACTAGCGCTGGCCTACCTCACAGGAGTGTTGTGAGGATGAACACATTACAGATTGTGAAGTGCTCAGTTACTCCAGTGCCATATAAACACCATAGATAGATACATTTCACTAGCTCTCCAGTCACCATAGAGTCACCCAGGGTAGACAAGACCTTAATTTTTAATGTAAAAAGAAAGTTGGGGGGAAAGAAACCCCCAAACTTTCAGGGCTATATCATTCTCTTCCCCCCACCACTCATTCTCCTCCCATCCCATGCTCGGTAGATCAACCTTGATGATTTTTGAAGGTTTGCAAGCAGCATCTGGGACATATGCATTGTTTGGCATCCGTGAAGAGGTGAAATTTGGGACTTGGGGAAGAGGAGATTGCAAATGTTCCTTCCCCTTCGTCAGGGGACAATCAGCCCTCTCTCTGTGGGGAGAGGTGCGAGGGGGATTGCTGAGTGGGGGCTGCCAGGTTGTGGGGGGAGATGGGCCCCAGCCAGACTCAGCTGACTGCATTCTCTCTGTGCAAAGATCCCCCTAGGAAGCGAGTGGACTCCCCAATGCTGAACCGGCATGGGAAGCGGCGGCCAGAAAGGAAGTCGATGGAGGTTCTCAGCGTGACAGATGGCGGTTCGCCGGTCCCAGCTCGCAGAGCTATTGAAATGGCACAGCATGGACAGAGGTAGGTAGCCCCCATAGCCAGGAAAGATGAACCCCGTGCTCCTGGCCTCCCCTACTTCCCCTCTACACAGGAGGAGTTTGAGAAAATGTTCTATCTTCACCAGCATGTGTAGAAACATCCAGCAGCACTCGTGATTACTGGCACTATCGTATCAGTTCTGTCCATGGCATGAGGGTCCTGTCCACTGAACCCTTTTACTCAGAATCCTACTGAGACCCTTGACACTGGTGTCATGAGAATAGTATGAATCTGGAGAAACCCTACCAGACTCCTTTGGGTGCCTCTCATGGCTGCTGTCAAACTCAGTATGGCCCTGACGCTCATAGCTCACTGGATTTCTTAAGCGTGGTGGGTATGTATCATTCCAGTTCTCTCATCTGCAAGGAAACTGCTGCTGTTGTGATATGCTGGAGAGGAGTGGAGGGAATGGTGTGCCCAGGGGAACTGCTGTGTGAGCTGCCCTTCTGGTTGTGTTGTACCAAGGAGCCGTTCTCCACGCTCATTACAGGATGGCCACACTAACGAAAGGCAGAAAGGAAGCATGTGTATTTGGAATTACACAGAGAGATATCAATCTGTATCCAAGAACATCACACGTACATAGACTGTCAATGCTTTCGCTTGTAACTCAGCTTTTGTGACATGGTCTTTTCCCTCAGCTGTTAAGATCTGCTCAGGAAGAGTCTCCTGTGCCCAGAAGCTCCTTTTGCTGGCTGACAGCTGGGCGAAGAACATGAAATAAAGACGTTCAGAGGCCCTTAGAACTGCCTGCGATTCTTATTGGATGACTGAGGCAGTTCTAGCCCTAGAGTGAAGAAAGCTATTCCCCGAGAGCTGCTAGGATTTATTCCTGGGGTCCATGGCTGGGTATCCTTAAGATTCAGTGTCTGAAAGGTTCCTCATCATAGGTCAGACAGGACCCCAGCTTTATTTCCCCTCCTCCCCCCCCCCCATCTGACAGTGAAATAAAAGGATCTGTATAATGATCAGGTAGCTGTTTTGGAGAAACATGTGTTTCACAGAGGCCACTGATGTCAAAGAAGGTAGAATGAAGAATAAGGCTGAGCACCCTGGGAACAAACTGTTACCAAGCAGTAGTCACTAAAATCAAACATCCACCTTTTCCCCATCTCGCCTTTCATATCCAGTCCTGGTACCTGGAGGCCCTGCTGGCCCATGAAGGTCTCATGTATGAGACAGCCACTGGTGCACTGTGCGGACTTCGGCACCCCAGCTGCAGACAGTTTGTTGCCTTAGTAAGTTGCTGTACTTTGCAGTTGCTTGCGGGGAGCATTTACCTAGGTGGAACAACAAAGAGGAACCAGGAATAATGGTGATACAGACAAATTGAGTTAGGAGCAAATCATTCCACCAGCGTAAAGCTTCCTGGCCTGATCCTGATCTGTTCTGATAGTTGGAATGCTCCCTGCCACCTCTCACCTTTGGCTTGTGAGTCCATAATAAATGTGTCAGAAAGCTAAAAAGGGGAAATCAAGGGCTCGTTTTGCTTTGAATGTCCCACTTTCCCCCACAATTGGAAAATGTTGCAATATGAGGTGATCAGTGGAAAGAGACACAAGGGGAATGTCTGAGATTATCTCAGAGACACTGGAGAGAGATGCATTGGCGGCATGTCAATGAGGGATGACTCTAGGTTAAAGAAGGCAGGACTCATGCCAAAGGTATCAGGGACAATCAGAAGGGATACACTGGGAGTGTGTGTGCAGCAGACAACTTCAGCTAAAGCAAAACATACAGGTCTGATCAAGGACAGTGGAGGGGCACACGCTGACATTATGAGGGATGATGCCCAGTTCAGTGGTGCATATTTTGGAAGAGGTTAAGGGGAAGGTGCTATTTTATTTCAGGCTCAAGCTTTCATTACTCAAACACTCTCCACATCTGTAGATGACAATGGCACAGTATGAGTTGCTGGCAGTGTGATGATTTATAACGTGAGCTGGCTTCGTTAACAAATGCCACTGCATGGAGAGTGTCTGGGGAGGGTGCACTGCTGATAGGGGCACCATCTGTCAGAACAGTCAGTAACAAAACGCTAGGTGCCTGCAGCCAAGAATCAGGCTTTTTAAGGCTAGCTGTACAGTATTCAGCAGCAAGTGACCCACAGAGGGTGGATTTTGCAGCACTTCTTCTTAGCCCTGTGACTTTCAGGGGGTGGTGCTGCCCTGGTATTCTCAGTCTCGGCAGATGGATATCCACTGCTTTATTCCAGGAGGATTGTACTGCATTGGGAAGGTGAAGAGAGACTGAGGAGACAGTCCTAGTTAGAGATGAATGACTGTAAACACCAGGAAATATACACCCATTGCTTCCTTCATAAGCTACCAGAGATGCTTCTCTAGCTCAGTGGGCAAAGCACTCCCCTGTGACTTGTGTTTTAGTCCCACTGCAGTGAACATCTGTTTATTTGCAGAAAGGGGATGCATGTGATAGCCTCCAGTTGTATGTGGATAAATATCACACTTGGCACCCAGCCTGGGACCACAGGAGCCTCTACGCTTGATATTATGGGTTTGATATCCTCTTAGAATAGCCACTCAAGCTTGAAATAGGGGACTCAAACCCAACAGGTTGGTAAAAGGGCTTTTGTGCTGAAAGCATTAGGAAAAAACATAGCCCTTCAGTGACTTAGTCCTGGAGAAGAACAGTGGAACAAGTGAAGTCCCGCACAATGACTGGCTTCCAGCTTACATCCAGCTCTGCTTGAAACAATGGCGTTGGCCCCTCTAAGTGCTCTCTGTTGTTTCTCTGACTGTATGTGACACACTAAAAGCACACAAACACCCACATCTGGTGGTTAGGTTTGGTTTTATCCTGCTTTTAGCCAGCCCAAATGTATTGAAGGGGAGAATGGTACTGAGCTACACCACTGCCAGTGCTTTTCTTTCCCACCCATTTCAGACTGCTTGGCTCCTCCTAGAAGCCACAGCTTCACTCCTGCCAGGAGAAACGTCAGAGGGGAGGGGATAGGTGCACAGAACACTGTAGACACCTCATGGCACTAAGAATCTTGTGAAATGGACAGCCCCTTCTTTAGGTGGCGCCTGCTATCCCTGCAGCAGCTGGAACCTCTGCTGGGGTGCCAGAATTTTCACAGTGGCAAGGGTCAGAGTTGAGAAGATTTGCTCAAACTTCCTAAAGTTGATTCCATCAACTATTCATTTTCCTTCCATTCTTTTTCTTGTGGGTTGCTGAGGTGGATAGCACGAGTGAAATAGCAGCCAGTGCTGGCAGGCTGTATTGTGTAGAGCAGCTATCCACATAACACAGAGCTAACACATAACATAGACCTCCTTTAGCGAGGCTTTTAGAGTCCTGCTTCTCAGCTGCTGGGATTCTCACCAAGTTTGGGAATCAGAATGGTTCTTTCTGAGGGATGGAGAGGGGTGTGGGACTGGCAGGAACGAGCCATGAAGAGTAGAAAAATAAAAGAGGCCTTTAATACGATCTGCTTGCAGTTTTGAATCTGTGCCCAGTGTGTGCTTAGTGTTAATGACTTCCCGGAAAGGCTTTCAGATTCCCAGCAGCAGTAAGGAGGGCTTTGCTATTTTCACATTCAAGCATGGTCGATCTCCAGTGAGAAATGTGAGCAAGTGGACTCCAGCTGGGGTTTTCAGTGCAGTAATGGGGAGCAGGGTGTTGGGGTGTGTTTGTTGTGGAGGTCACAGACCATGACAGGCTGGGAGTCGACTCTTAGAGAATACTTCTACCGGGGTCTGATTCTGCCATGTGCTGAAGGCCTCAGCTCTCACCAAAGCCAGTGGGACTGGGAGTTGAGGACGCTCAGCACCTTCAAGAGATGATCAGCACCATTCAGGATGGAGCCATAGTTCAGAAAGGAGCAGGAAAAGTGTTTTGGAGATTTGCTTTAAAGAGGACGTGGGTTGGGAGGGCTTAGAGTCAGGGACGCTTTCAGGTGAATCTCTTTTATGAATGTCCATATTAGTAACTCTGTTTTCTCACTTTGTTCCTGCCATAGTAAAACAATGTTCAGTAAAAGCCTGGATATCTCTGAAGCCAATCCCAAATTCAACAAAGAAGAAAGGTATAAACACTGACAATCTGTTCCTCTCCTCTACCTCACTGCTGAGACCTTAAAGATGCAGCACTTATCTTCTCCATGTGGGGATGCAGCTGCTCATGCCTAGAGAGAGCCAGGGACGGTGGGCGGTGTTTTGGGGGGGGGGGGGTTGTGTGTGTCTTCTGCAGTAGAATGCTATGTATTTTTATATACAACCCTTCATACGAATCTGTCCCCAAAGGCTTCATGCACAGGCTATGTCTGTATTAGGATTTCCCCCTAAAATTTCGTATTATTGCTACCACTGTATCAGCCTCCCTGGGTGTTCACAATGGTGGGAGTACCAGTGTAGAAAGGGGACTGGTATTTTAAACCACCGTCTTACCTGAACCTGCTTTAAGAAAGGCCGAAAACACTGAGCTTTAAAGGCCAGCAGTCACGTGGAGCTCTGTCTACACTACACTCCCATCATGGCTAACTCCAGTGCAGCTGAGCCAGCGGTAGCAATGGTGGGAAGAAAAATGCCTTCAGCCAAGGGGCAGGCTCTTTAAGGCTGTTGTAGATACACGAGCAGAGAGAGAAAGAAAAGGAATATTTGTGGGTGAGATTGAATCAGGATGCTGTAGACTCAGTGGCTCAGGAAATAGTTGCAGGTAGCTGGGAAAGAATAAGCGAAAGGGCAACTCCCGACTGCTGCCGAGAGAGGCAAATGGGGCCGGGGCAGAGAGGCCACCGAATCTGGGAATTTAAATAGAGACTCTTGGGTTCATTTACAAAATTAATTTAGCCTTTTGGAGGAAGGGGGTGTTGTGAAACACTGAACACCAGAGTGGTGGAGCTCTGTTCTGGTGCTAACAGCGAGCTATAACACAATGGGTAATTCCCCACCATATTGTAGCCCTCCTATGCTACATGATAAAGACAGTGCTTAAAAACCCTTGACTTTTGCCCCAGTCCTTATCTCTTGCACCCTGAGCCAGTGTGGTTATGTCTTTATGGGATTTCCTGCCCATTGGGCCATGTGCAAGTCTCGTGGGGAAAGTGGGTGGCAGAGGGAACACCCTGTCAATTAACAGTCTGTAATAATAACAACAATACTGGGCATTTATATTGTGACATTAACTCACAAATCCATCCAGTTAAGGGGCCAGCAACAAAAGCCACAGCCAGATGGACGGAGACTGCTCCTTGGCACTGAAGTGGGAGGAAAGTTGAAGGTTTCTCAAGGTTCCACAACAAATCTGGAGGAACCCTGCTTCCCTTTATACAGAAACCTTTCCAGTTTAATATAATCACGGCCCTTTCAATATAAACCTTTAGAGACTGCCCATGTGTGAGGGTGACAATCTCCCTATCAGCCTTTCACAGACCGACACAGTCAATTGAACACACAGTTTAAGGGCCCTGCGGCTTCCACAGAAAAGAAGCAGGGAGAGCACTGAGTTTGCCAGCAGATGAAGGGACAGATCCTGAGACAGCATGCCAGGTACTCACTTGTATGAGACCCAGCAAGAAATGCCTTTTCATCTAGTTTGTGACACGAGAACTGTCTCCTAAGTCTCCCCAGCTCCATTGGTTTCCCTTTGCACTTCTTCTGCAGCTGTGCAAAGGGTGGAGAAGATGACACTTCAGGAACTGCTGGGAGAATCCCCTAAAGACACAACTGCACTTCTAGCTACATCACAGAGGAGATGTTTTCAGAGGGCAGGAGGGCTGGGCTGGACTTCTGCAGGAGAACCTCCTAGGGGCCTCTTTATTGAAAGGAGAGCGATGAGGAAAGAGATGGATTGGCACATTCCCTGCCACCTCCCGCCACAGTTTTATCTTTCTCGGTGTTAAGTTGAAAGGGTCTCCAAGATGGGAAAAGGAGTGGGAGGCTAAGGGAAATAGTCTTCAGATCTGCTAATGGAGCAGGGAGAGGAAGGAAGGGCAGCAAAGAGAACCCCAGCAAAATGACCCCTCTGGGGCTAACTAATCATGGTGGCCACTAAATCGTTGGCCAACATTTCATTCTCCAGTTTTTTGATTTCTCTTTTTTAAAAGGAATACTGCATCTTTAAGGATCCTCCCCCTCTAGATGCACATGGTTGTCTTAGTAGCTGAGGCCACTGTCCCTCTCTTCTCTCTCTTTTCTCTCTTTTAGCTCCCTCTCGCTCCTTTCAACGCTTTCCTTCTTCTGTATCTGGGTTTCTGCAGCTCCGTAGTTCACTTGCTTCAATATTGCAGGGAATGCACATGTCTGCGCTGCTGGGTCTATTGTGTCCTGGGTTTGTTATTTTTTTAACCTCATTTCCCATCTCCCTTTCCCCTAGTCTCAATTGGCTTTCTGTTCTTTGTTAAAATCCTCAGTGCCTTTCCCTTTGGGGAAAATAACTCACAATGAAAGAAAAGTGAATAAATCTATATACACACATTATGTATGTATTTCAGTACAGTGTGTGTGAGTATGGGTGTATTTTATATATGTACGCACACACTAGGAGCCAAATCCTGCTCTCGGTTACATCTGTTTAAATGGATTTTCACTGATGTAACTGAGAACAGGGTTTGGCCCTATGCATATGAATTAGGATCTTATCCAAATTATAACTCCAAACCAAGTACCAATGGAGTGTCACTCATGCATATGAAAAAGCACTCACTATAATGCTTCTTTCCACCTCTCTGTCAACGTACAATATAGTGACTTTTTTTTTAAATTGTATGTGAGTCTTAAGTTTTCTTAAGATCCACCCCCACGTTGCCTGGCACAGCGTTCGGAACAGTCACGTAACAAGAAGCACATCTGGCTGTGTTTATAAGTAAACTGTGAAATCGACTTGGCAAATACTGAATTTGGCATTTATGGTGGTGATCATCTTGTGAAGGATTGACCTGCCATTGGGTAATTCTGACAGCTAGGGGGCCTGTTACAGAAACTGGAGAGAGAGAGAGAGAGAGAAATGTTTCTATCCTACTTGGAGTTTGGTTTAATATCAAACCAGTAGTTTTTCACATTAATCAATGGTCAGATTGAAAAAATAATAGACATTGATAGTCTCCCAATCTAGCTCACAAGACAATCAGGGCATAGAAAGTTTAATAAAAATAATCCTACCTCTTCCTTGCGTGCTTTGATCAGCAATGAAAAATTAAGTGTTGAATATTTGAATTGCTACCATCAAGCTTAAGAGTCGACATACCATGGGGATAAATGAACAGTTCACACCTCTTTTAGGTTTGGTTTACACTCTGTTCACATTGGAAGGCTATCTCTGCAACTTCTAAGGCCTGGAGGCTTGATTTATTTTAAATAAAAAATTAGATTCTGGAGTACAGGATCACATCCCCAGGGATAAGTACTGGCATGACCCAGCTAATTTGAATCCCTGATTTTAACACAGTAAATGCTCCCTCATGACTATTAAGCTAGTATCAAAGCATGGCTTCAACTTTGCCTACAGTCTCACTCACTGGGCTCCCAGACTGGCTCAGAAATGTGTATTTTAATGACCAATACCATTCCCAGTTCATGCATAGAAAAAGATGCTTCTCGCCAGGCCAGTTTGAGGGGCAGCGGGACACTGTGCTGAGCAAAATGGGTGCAAAGAGATCAGCCTCCTTTTTAACACTCTGATCTAACTGTTCTTCAGCTAAGAGATGTTATGAAAACAAAACAAGGAACACAAACCCCCAGCTCTGCTGACTGGTTCAGTTGGGTGGTGTTGGTTTCTCGTAACACCTTAGTATATTCTCTCCCGATTCCCAGTTCCCAAATGCAAAAGTCTGACTGTTTGTGTGCAGTATGGAAATCATTGTCTAGTAAATGAAACTGTCCCCTCGCATTCCTGGTCTCCTGAGCGGGAGGCACCTGTGGCAATAATTCTGACCATTCGGTTCTCTGAACAGTATTTCACTTTGCTTTTCGTACTCTTCTCTCCACCTGCCTCCACGTCGTCCCCCACCCCTCTCTTTCTCTCTCTTTCTCTCCTCTCTTTATTTCCCCCTTCCAAGGATGACGAGTGCTGATGCATTGGGGTAAGCTCCAGTTTTGGATTATACCTGTTGTTGGACTTGTTATATCTTATAGAGAGATTTTTTTAACTTGCAAAGTTAACAAATATAGATGTATAGACTTGATCAAATGAAACTTTTTAATAATGAGAGAGATGTGGGAAGAAGCATTTGTGTGTGTGTCAGGGGGGTGTATGTGTGTGTGTGTTGGAGTCACACACTCTATATACTTCTCTTCTTCTTTTGTTTGTTTGATTTTAATGTGTCAGGGAACACAAAACTAATCTCTGACACTATGCAGATACTAAGACACTTTGAGAATGAAAACTCCTTCCCCACTTATTGCACTTTTCATGTCTGTATGGCATACCTGATTGATTATTGATATTTGAATAACAACGTCCTTTTCCCCCCCATTCCCCCAAGATGAAGCTAAAACCCACACATGGTCTAAAATAATTCCTGGGTATTTTCCCTCCTCTTAGCACAAGTTCTTTTTCCACTAGGAATATGGTCACACTTTAGATGGAGTTTCATTTATTAATAGTTATTAAATGGATAATAAATTATTAATATGCTTTAATAAATTGTAATAGATTGTCCAGCAAGTCAGTAGATGCTTAGAACCAGGGGTTATAACCATGTATAGCACCTTCTAATGTTGTAGCTATAACCACCTATAATATGTGCTACTCAGGTCTGTAACATGCATATAACATCTCTTAGTGATTTATTAACCCTTTATAAAACAATTATAAATGGAACCTAAATATAAAGTGTAACCGGGATACTCTAATTAAACAAGATGATGCTGTTTAATATCATCACCTAGGGTGTGCAGAAGGGTGCAAGTCCCCTCTCCCCCTACTCTTTTCCCCATGTGTGTCTGCATCCAAGGGCCTGAAACTGCAGACATATACTACAAGGTGTAGGACTTACTACCAGGATTAGACCCATTGACTTCACTGTAGCAATTCAGGGTAGCAAATGTTGTGCCTTGTAGTAAAAATTAAGATTGGGGCATAAGACAATACAGCCCCACACTCTGAGGTGCCATCCTGATATTATATAATTGGTGGTATCCCTACTATTTATTACTCTTGTGATCAACTTTGCACAGGGGAAAAAATGTTTCTGGTTGATGCTAAAAATTAAAAGCTAAAGAGAGATTAGGTAATAGAGCATGGCTTGGCATGTTCACAGACCAACCGTCCTGCTGTCTCTCACGTATTAGATCGTGTGGCATTCTGGAAGGTTTTAGACATTTTGTTGTGGTTTAAGAATCTTGATTTTTCATTTAAACGATCAAGTGAAAAACAAGAAGGAGCTCGGTTTGTGTCTAATTTGACCTAATTTGTGCTGTAAAAGAAATGAGCAAGCGACTGGCTGGATGCGTTTGGCTGAGATTTTCAAAGCCATCTACAGAGTTTGGACAAATCCAAAATCTCAGCCACTGTTTGCACCACCCTGGGATGCAAGTCTGATGCATCTACCATACGGTGCATGCATGCTGCAGGTTCCCATTCTTGGGAGCACAGCTCCTGGCTGCGAACAGCTAAAATGCTGGTTACAGGACTGTATACCGCACTCACTAAACATCATGAACCGAGCCCATTTTGAAGGCCGCAATACAAGAACCTGGGACCAAACTTACCCCATCCAGTACAACTTTATTAGAAACAATCATTCTCCTAATAGTGAATTCACCACTGCTATGAGGCACTGAATTTTACCTGTGATCTTATTTAAAAAAATCTATGAGTTTTATTCAGAGAGAAACTGAATGTAAAGTCTGGTTTAGATTCTACACTGGATTCTGTTTTTAAGCAGAAGTAAAACAATTCTTTGGTGGTGCTTTTCAGAAACTGCCGACAGAAAAGAGACAAAACCAGTTTTTTCTTAACTATATAGATTTTGAATAGTTTGAACAAACGAACCCCAGTGTACTAGGAGTTAATGAGGGGTTTAGATTGCTCTTTGAGAGAATCAATAGGCCTGTGGTCTATCTGAGGGCAGGTCTTCACTACAGGGGGGGGTCGATTTAAGATACGCGAATTCAGCTACGCGAATAGCGTAGCTGAATTCGACCTATCAGAGCCGACTTACCCCGCTGTGAGGACGGCAGCAAAATCGACCTCCGCGGCTCCCCGTCGACGGCGCTTACTCCCACCTCCGCTGGTGGAGTAAGAGCGTCGATTCGGGGATCGATTGTCGCGTCCCGACGAGACGCGATAATTCGATCCCCGAGAGATCGATTTCTACCCGACGATTCAGGCGGGTAGTGTAGACCTAGCCTGAGAAGGTTACTTAGACCCAAGGGTAAATGGCATCATACAGATTTCATTCACAACTCGATCTGATGGTGCTAAGGAAGATGGCTTCACCAGAGGATGAGTATGAGAAATAGCAACAATCACATTTTAAAAAAACTTTCTAAAATAGCTTGTTTCTGAAAAATATGTGGCCTATATAGAATGGTGTAGTATGAGGCTAGGGTTTTCAAAAGCACTTTGGAGCAGACAGCCCTTTGAAAATTAAAGGGACTTGTGCCCCTAAATGATTTAGGGGCTTTTGAAAATCCCATCCTAAAGACTTTTTTCGGCACCTATTTAGGGTGGTGATAAATCACACTAGACTCTCCAGTGTGGTAAGTAAATAGATAAAGGGCAGCTCTTCACTACCGCTTAAGTCCATGTAACTTACGTCACTCAGGGGTGTGAAAAAGGCATTGGTGCAGCTGTGCCAATGTAACACTTCTAGTGTAGTCTAACCCAAAGAGTGATGCACAGAGTACTGGCACATACACTATGTAAAACACTTGGAGATCTACCTGCATGCGGGAATGTAATAGAAATGTAAAGTGTTATTAATTATAAGGAATGGAATTATTTGAGTAATTATAGAAATGATACTTACTTTCCAATGATTCTTAATGGCTCTAGAAACTTTAAGATGGTTACACACTAACAGATATTTTCAGCTAAATAAACTTAGTTCATATTCAGAGAGAAAAGATACTTTTCCTGCTGTGGTTTGCCAAGTTCCTCCTTTCCCCCCACACAGTAAGATTGTTCGGAGTCTTCAGTGCTCATGTGCTGCTGCGGGGACTTCCACTTTCACTATACAGTGATATATAGATGCAGATATTTAAATTCTCTCTATGCCTTCATCTTAACATTGCAGCATTGGGCCAGTTTTCGTGACTGATGTTTGGCCCCTGCTTTGATTCTGTGCATCTGGCTGACAGATGCAGAATAGAGCAAAGTCGTCCTGCAGTATTTTTTACAAGCTGGTTTAATGGATTTCCCAAGGAAGGTGGTCTTCTTGGGAGGGAAAAAATCTCTCTTAATAGCTTTTTTTTTCTTTTTTCTTTTTTTTTTTTCTTGAGAGCTGAAAAGCCTGCCACAAGTGAGTTTCCATAATCACTTGGGAATTTTATCCCATTGGTAAACTTAAATGCTGGAATTCGTTAGAAAGAGGAAGAAGCAGGTGAGAATTCTGGAAACTGTCCTTCCCTTTCATGTGAAGGGGAAAGATTTGAAAATAGTCAGCTCTCTTTTTTAAAGAGCAATAAAAATTGATCCATGAGCTCCTTAGACTCTGCCCTGTGTTCCCAAACACAATTTCCAATGTGGAAAAGCCAAGATACATTAAAGGGTCCATTTTACCTCTTCCCTTGTTTCTTTATAACCACTAGTAGCCACTCTGTGGAAATAAGGCTAATTTAATTAGTAGTAGTGTGGATACTGAATGCATTTCCTATGAGATTTAATTCCAACCCTCTCCTCTGACCCCTGCATCAGGCATCTAAGATAGGGGGAAGCTCAGTATATTATAGCTTCTTGCAAACCACTGTTTGTGATAAGGAACGGGCTCGGAGGTGGGGCCTGCTGTGTTGTGCCCTATATATATGTGACCACTTGTTTTTTTAATATGGGGAGAGATTGGAATAAGAGTGGTGAAATCAGGGTTTTTGGAAGCAGACCTGATTGGGGTCAAGTGGATAGGAGAAGGTTTTAAGCAACTATCCTGAAATTCAGGTGAATGTTAAAGATCAACTTCGAACCACGATTGTGTGTTGAGGGGAACAAAAGGCCGGGTACTTTGGTGCCTAAAGATGCAGATAGGTGCCTAATGTGATTTTCAAAAGACCTAGGCACCTAACTCCCACTGGGAGAGAAAGGTAACATAAAAACAGCCCAGCAAAAGTGGAGCTCATGTACAAAGCAGGCCGTACTCCACTCTCATTTCCACTGGTGTAAACCCAGAAGAACGCCAATGTCTGCAATGGAGTTAATGTGGGTTTACACTGGTGGAAGAGAATGCAAAGTTTGGGCCAGTTTGTTTTGTATAGATGGCAGTGATGGATGGGCTGCATTGAGATGCAAGGAATGAATTCCATGGAGAGTTTCTGCACTCGACACAAATTGTCAGAATGGAGCTTGTTGTATGTTAATTTAAACCTTCTTCCACTGCTCATCGATTTTTTTTGGTAATGTTATAATTTCTTTTTAAGAATAGATGGATGTGAAACGTTTTGAATCTCAATTTATAATCTTATTCTTATATAATAGAGCGATACAATTGAGAGACGAGGGCAGGGACTCTAAATTAGCTTTGTGTTCTCTAGAAGGCTGTTTATACTTACAGGACTAATATATATAATGTATATGTGCACATACCTAATAGGGCTGTCAAATGATTTTAAAAAAATCTCAATTAATCTCAAGATTAAAAAAAAGTTGCAATTAATTGCAGTTTTAATCACACTGTTAAATAATAATAGAATACCAATTTATTGGTTATAAATATTTTGGATTTTTTTTCTACATTTTCAAATATATTGATTGCAATTACAACACAGAATACAAAGTGTACAGTGCTCACTTTATATTATTATTTTTATTACAAATATTTGCACTGTAAAAATGATAAACAAAAGAAATAGTATTTTTTAGTTCGCGTTTAGAGTCTACAAGTCAAAGCATGAAGGGGCATATGAATATTTAGCATTTATGGCACATAAATACCTTGCAGCTCCGGCTACAACCATGCCACGTGAACACCTATTCTCATTTTCAGGTGACATTATCTCCCGTAAAGGTAAACAAACTTGTTTGTCTTAGCGATTGCCTGAACAAGAAGCAGGATTGAGTGGATTTACAGCCTCTAAAGTTTTATATTGTTTTGTTTTTGAGTGCAGTTATGTAAAAAAAAATCTATATTTGTAAATTTCACTTTTCCAACAAAGAGATTGCACTATAGTACTTGTATGTGGTGAATAAAAAAATATTATTTCTTTTGTTTATCTTTTTATTGTGCAAATATTTGTAATCAAAAGTAATAATATAAAGTGAGCACTGTAGACTTTGTATTCTGTGTTGTAATTGAAATCAATATATCTGAAAATGTAGAAAAAAATCCAAAAATATTTATAATACATTTAAATTGGTATTCTATTATTGTTTAACAGTGCGATTAAAACTGCAATTAATCGTGATTATTTTTTAATCTAGTTCATTTGTTTTGCATTAATCATATGCATTAACTGCAATTAATTGCCAACCCTAATACCTATATTCCTGTACACACACACACATGCCTATATGCATGCACACATATATATGGTACTCATGTTGGTAGGTCCAACTGTGAATAGAGATTTTTATGTTAGTTGTTGGTTGTGTTGGTTCTCCAGTATAGTCTCCTCCTTCAAAAATTTTTGTTCTTCAAGACCACCTATCCTTCCAGTTGAGGAGAGTTGAAAGCAGCTGCCTCTAGAGCTGGTCAACACTCTGGGTCAGTTGAGCGTGGGAGGAATCGCTCAAAAGCCACATGAAATGCTATGAGGGACAGTTTTTGTCACTGCTCCTGTATTAACATTCTCTGCTGTTGAGAAGTTCCATTGCTGAGCTGTTCATGTTTTTGGTCTACATGACCTTTCAGGTCAGAGCCACTGGTTTTGGCCCAGTGCATTTGTATGTTTTGATTGTTGTTAACTACGGACAATTTTTGCAGAGGCCTTTGCTGGTGAGCGTAAGGGGAGGTGGTTCTGTATGGGTCACCTTGCTGGCAGGTGGAAGGGCAAGTTGGTCCCATAGCTTGGACTTCACCTGATTACATTAGGGCTGTTGATCCCAAAATTGGGAATCTCGTCAGCAGGCAGGATGGCTGGCGATCCCATAAGGAGATCTCACTGGTGGGCAGAACAGCAGGCGATCCCATAGGAGAGCTCACTGATGGTTAAAAAGGTCTGTTATCCCATATGGGAACCCCAAAAATGCCAGATTGAAGTGACACTGATCCTGTGTAGACTTTATCAATGGGCAGAAAAGTTATTGCTTCCACAGGGCAACCTAATTAGTGGGCAATGGCTGGGTGATCCCATAAGAAGAGCCATTCTGGTGAACAGAAGAGTTGATGTTTCCATAGAGAGGAGCTCTCCAATGGACAGAAGGGCCTGTGGTCCCCTAGGCCTAGAGGAAGTTCCTCAGAGAGCAGAAGAGATCAGTGATTTCAGATGCAAATCTCACTGGAGAGTCAAGGGGATGGCATCATGGTGAAGTTAGAAATGGTGGCTCAGCATCAAATAACCAGTCACTATAGACCTGAGCTTTGGTTTCACTGGGACAGTCCTCTAATTTAAGAAAATAGTGCATCTGGGGCACTGCAGATTTGACCTTTTTTGGTGCCTGGTAGAATTTTCTGCTCTTGTGAGTTACACAGATAGTGGTTTTCCATATCTCTGGGGTTTTTACCTCTGGCACAGCAAGTGGAACTATGCAGAGAGTAATTCTCACCACCAGTACTGGGCTTATAATGGCTTTTGCTGTGATCTCTTTAGTGTACACTGGCAGGAAGCAATATCTGTCCATGCGCAAATACTCATGACCCTGAAATGGGTGGCATTGCACAGCTCCACTCACAGAGCACCTCTGGGGTCACAGGGTCCTCTCTGCATGAACATAATTTCTTAGAGGTTGGGGGGAATTGAAAGGTTTGTCATGTAGTGAGAGGGTACGGAAGAGCCATGTGCTTTTCCTATTGAAAGCCTCCCTGCTGCTCCTCAACTCATGCCTGTGCATGCGGTGGCTGGTATTCAGTGGATGTTCCTTGCCCAGGGTTTCTGAGGGCCATCTCTCCCTGTTGTGTTCACTCAGGTCTCGGTCGATCAGCGGAGCTTCATCTGGTCTCTCCACCAGCCCCCTCAGCAGTCCAAGGGTAAGTGGCATTACTTCAGGATCTATGGGTACCATTCCCTCAGACAAGCTCAGTGCTTTTTGGCTTCTATGCCTGTAGAGCTGTGGTTATTTGTGGAGTGTTTTATTTTTCCTTGGTTGGTTGTAAATTTGCTTGAATTGGGGAGATATTGATTAGAAATTAATGTGCAGCATCTCTTACCCTACATGTTTCCTGTGCTACCCGAGATGTCTCTCTATGGCCCTGTCCATCGTCAGCCTCATAACCACCTTTAGGACCAAACACGGCTGGGACACATAACACCCCGTTGGGTTGTCTATAGCACACCTTCAGCTAATACAGCTGCTTGTAACAAAGTCACAGTGAAGCACCATACCATGTCACTTTGGTTCTGCTTAGAACAGAACTGTGCTTGACTGACATGGGTCTAGCTAGAATGGGGATGTTACTGAATGTGGTAGTAAGTACCCTGGTTTGGTGCTCTAGTGAGGACAGGGCTTCGGGGGGGGGAGGGTGAATTATATGGATTTGAAGAGAAATAAGAAATTGGCACATCACAAGACTGGGGTTTCTGAGGAAACAGAGTACTCATTTCTGTCTCCTGTCAACAAGCCAAACCCTGAGGTCTTTACTAAGTATTTAGCCAGTCCCTACTGAGGCAAAGGTCCCTTTCATTTCAGTGGCAGCTCACCTACCTAAGGATTGAGTACAACATCAGGGAATCATTCCCCACGATCAGTGCACAGACTGTCCCCTCCTCACATGGGTCTTCCCTTTTTGTATCTGGGGTAGGGAGGAGAGCAGTGGAAGTCAGCTCCCTCTATGACACCATCACCACCAGCCTGGGAGCCAGCTTGGGCCTGGAGATCTATGCATGCATAGTGGAAAAGGGATGTGGGATGGCTGGGGGGGACTCACATCCTACCCCAGCCCCCTGCAATATACAGTAAACCTCCCACATAGCTATTAGAGTCAGAGGGTGCACATACTAGTGCACAGAGGCCTTACTGTGGTGGGCAGCCTCTCTTGGGGTGCTAGGTCCTCACTGAAAAGCTCATGGGGCTATGTCGACGTCTGGCCCAGAATGTTTCAGGGAACCTCACAGCTCTTCCTAAGCCCCACTCTCAGCAGCTGTTTCCATGAGATGGTGAGTGCACTCCCACCTGTGTAAGTACCTAAGGACATGTGTAGATGACTCCAAGAAGCATTTCAGATTGCTATTTCCCCTAAACAGTCAGGTGAATTCATATTCTTAAAGGGACATTGTCAAGTACAGGTTTCTAGCTTTGCAGACTTTCCAACCTCTCCATTGTTTCAACCATTTTCTTAAAAGCATCTAATTTCCAAAACCTTTTCCCATCAATTTTTCTCCTGTTTTGTAACTGGCAGACATTTGATTTTGTTCCCCCCACCCTCCCATGTCTTTAACACACCAGGAACCAACAAGGTTCCATTTCAGAAGGTTCCTATTCTGTGCACTGGCCTCGCTGATGTCAGCAGGACTGGCCAGAATTCTGAGAATAATATTAACGACTGCTGCAGAATAAGTGGAGAAACGCACAAAAATAGCATCCAGTCCTGCAAACCCTAGTCATGTGAGTAATCCTTTCTCATAGGAGCAATTGCATTGATGTCAATGGGACTACTTGGGTGAGTAAGAACTCCTCACATGAATAAGGGTTGCAGGTCTGGTCAACAGTGACTATTCTTTAAAATGACGACTTGGGAGCAATTGATTAAATGTTTTTTAAAAGCTATTTAGCAGCCAGGTGGCATTCTCAGAAGACCATAACCATTTTAAGGTGGTCAGATTTTGGTCTTAAAGGGACACTGTTGGGTTAAAAATCATATAGTTTAAAAAAAGTTTCCTTACTTATGCACCTTAGGTTATGGAAACTATTTTCAAAATCAAATGTGTTTCACTATTTACACTGCTTGGGCACAATACTGCACCGTGCCGAATTCAATGGCAGTTGAAAATGCTTGAATCTCCCAAGATTAGGACCTTGGTTTACTTTGTTGCACCTCTCTGAACTGTAGCAATGAGAAGACACCAGTCAATTTAGTGGACCAAATTAGGCTCTTGGTTAAACTGGTGTAAATCTATTGAAGTAATGATATTACTTTTAGTGGTTTAACAGAGTGCAGAATAGCTTTATTTCTTGTAAGTTTGATTCTCGTGCTGTCATACACTGATTACATGAGCTGTAAAAATTGCAGGGGAATGCTTATAATCATTACTTTTAAACCCATTTCCATTGGAATTAATTAGAAATGGAGAATGATCTCTTCCTGATAGTGACCAGCATGAATTAGCCACATTACTCATCTCTTTGACCTTCCATTCCTAATGGTGATTTGGAATTCACCAAAAGAGACAGGCTGTCTTAATTTTAAAGCGTTTTACAAAACCTAATATTAATAGAAATATTTTAATGTATTGGTTTTCCTTTAATTTTCAGAGTCTGATCCAATGTCCATTGAAGTCAAACCTCCCCTTGAATTCAGAGAGCTTTGAATCAGACCCTCAATGCAAGCAGTTTTATTTGTTTGGCTTTAAACATTCCCCTGCATTTTTAAATGTCGCAGCCTGGTACTAGTACTTGAGAACCAGTCTGGTTTCCTTTCTATGATTTGGGATTGCAATTGCTTTTACATCATATGTATGTACAATGCCTAGCACAATGGGGCTGGATTAGAGCCTTTAGAGGCTACAGCAGTATAAATAATGAATATAATAAAATATATTTGTTATGGCCACAAATGAGCAAGCTGAGTGCAGGGCCAAGAATAAACTAAGAGCATAAATGGTACTTGTAATCTAGGATGTTATTACTAGGGCTGTTGATTAAGCACAGTTAACTCATGTGATTAACTTAAAAAAATTAATCGCAATTAAAAAAATTAATTGAGATTAATCACAGTTTTAATTGCACTGTTAAACAATAGAATACCAATTGGTTGGTTTTGGTTGTTTTTCTACATTTTCAAATATATTGATTTCAATTACAAGACAAAATACTAAGTGTACAGTGCTCACTTTATATTGTTTTATTACAAATATTTGCACTGTAAAAATGATAAACAAAAGAAAAAAGTATTTTTCAATTCACCTCATACAAGTACTGTAGTGCGATCTTTTCATCATGAAAGTGCAACTTACAAATGTAGATTTTTTTTGTTACATAACTTCACTCAAAAATAAAACAATGTAAAACTTTAGAGCCTACAAGTCCACGCAGTCCTACTTCTTGTTCAGCCAATCGCTAAGAGAAACAAGTTTGTTTACATTTACAGGAGATAATGCTGACTGCTTCTTATTTACAATGTCACTTGACAGTGAGAACAGGCGTTCGCATGGCACTTTTGTAGCAGGCATTGCAAGGTATTTATGTGCCAGATACACTAAACATTCGTATGCCCCTTCATGCTTCGGCCACCATTCCAGAGGACATGCTTCCATGCTGCTGACACTTGTTAAAAAAATAATCCATTAATTAAATTTGTGACTGAACTCCTTGGGGGAGAATTGTATGTCTCCTGCTCTGTTTTACCTGCATTCTGCCATATATTTCATGTTATAGCAGTCTCAGCTGATGACCTAGCACACGTTGTTCATTTTAAGAACACTTTCACTGCAGATTTGACAAAACGCAAAGAAGATACCAATGTGAGATTTCTAAAGATAGCTACAGCACTTGCCCCAAGGTTTAAGAATCTGAAGTGCCTTCCAAAATCTGAGAGGGACAAGGTGTGGAGCATGCTTTCAGAAGTCTTAAAAGAGCAACACTCTGAAGCAGAAATTACAAAAACCAAACCACCAAAAAAGAAAATCAACCTTCAGCTGGTGACATCTGACTCAGATGATGAAAATGAATATGCATCAATCCATACTGCTTTGGATCATTATCGAGCAAAACCCATCATCAGCATGGAAGTATGTCCTCTGGAAAAGTGGTGGAAGCATGAAGGGACATATGACTTTTTAGTGCATCTGGGACGTAAATATCTTGCAATGCCAACTACAACAGTGCCATGCGAACGCCTGTTCTCACTTTCAGGTAACATTGTAAACAAGAAGTGGGCAGCATTATCTCTTGCTAATGTAAACAAACTTGTTTGTCTTAGCAATCAGCTGAACAAGAAGTAGGACTGAGTGGACTTGTAGGCTGTAAACTTTTAGATTGTTTTATTTTTGAATGCAGTTATTTTTTTTACATAATTCTACATTTGTAAGTTCAACTTTCATGATAAAGAGATTGCACTACAGTACTAGTATGAGGTGAATTGAAAAATACTATTTCTTTTGTTTTTTACAGTACAAACATTTGTAATAAAAATAAATATAAAGTGAGCACTGTGCACTTTGTATTCTGTGTTGTAATAGAAATCAATATATTTGAAAATGTAGAAAACATTGAAAAAGATTTAAATGAATGGTATTCTATTATTGTTTAACAGCGCGATTAATCACGATTAATTTTTTTAATCACATAATTAATTGTGATTAATATTTTTAATTGCTTGACAGCCTTAGTTATTACCAATATATAAGGTAATTCATTTTGTTTTTAAAATGTGGTTTTTATCCTGCCAATATCCCTTTAAAAGGATTTTACTCCCTGAATGTGTGTATTATACTGTTAACTGAACTCATCTGAACTGAACTTTCCCAGACAGCCCCTGTAACTAACCCAGGAAGGTTTTTTTTTTTAACAACAACAACAAAAGTCCTATCCCCTTGTTCTTCTCTCTCAATGGTGCATTATGAGTAGTTGTTTTTTCCCTTAAACTACATAATCACTTCCATCATCCAGAGAATGTGACACTGGGACTTCGTAACAAATATTGAGCAGTGAATTTCTGAACAGCAGAATCAGGGTGTCATCAGACTCTGTCTTTTCAGTGCTGATTGGGAAATCTCCTTCTTTCCCTGTCATGTAGCCCTGCTGGGACCTTCAGGGATTCTCTGTATAGCTATCTGTTTGCAAATCAAACCCCAAACTGACGCAGGGTTCAGGGATACCCCTGGTGTTCTGTGTTCAGGAATGTCCCAGCTAATGCTGAGTGGGTGATGTCACTCTGGAAGGCCAGGGGAGGAAGGTGGATGAAATGGTACTGCTCTTCCTCTTCTCTTTCTTTCCCCCATGGGTGAATGGAGCCTATGTGTGAGTTTTGTAGAGTTAGGGGAGGAGAGGGAGTGGGGGCTCTGAATGGTGTGTGCAGTAACCGGTGTGCCTTTCCCACCACCCCACGTGCACCACACACTTATTTTGAATTGCATCTCTCTGCTGTGTTTGATCAGGGCATTTTGAGCTGAAAAAAGCAAGCCCAGCTTAGGCGCTCGTCAGTTTCTGTGTGGCTTGAATGGCTCTTATTACCCCTTCCTCACTTCCCTTCAGCATTGTGCTTTTTTCATCGTGGGGCAATCCGAACAATGCCGGGGGTGTGGCGTGTCTCTCTTTTTTTCCCCTCAGTTATTTTGAATTTTTTTCCCCTTCTTCCTTTGTGTTCTTTTTCTCTCTGTGGTTTTCCTTTGCTGACACATGGTTGGTTAATATGGTAACGCCTGTTATGACACTGTTGTTCTTGCTGCTGCCGCCGCCACTGCTGCTGCTGTTGATTATGCTGCGTTCCCAGCTAACTGCATGTCTTTTTGTTTTTTGTTTTTTGTTTGTTTGTTTTTTGTTCTTGTTTCTTTGCAAACCCTCCCACCCGCCCTCCCCTTCACCTCCATCTCTCGTGTCTCCTTGTGACATGATGCATCTTTGTGACTCAAATGGGTTTATTCTGACTTTCCTTTCTCTGCTCGCCCGCTGTGTGCGTGTCTCACTGTTCTCGATGTGCATGGACACTCTGTGTCTGTCTTGTAGCCTATCAGAAAGTTTTTCATCCCCCCTCAGACTCCTGACCTCCCTCTTTCCCTCCGACCCCAAGTCTCCTTGGACCCTGATGCTTGTAGGAACGCCTCCAGGCCTGGACATGTTCTCCAACCAAAGCCAACACTTCAGTCCAACCCAAAGACGCAGACTTTGCCATCCAAGAACAAATTGGCTGAAAAACCGCTCCAGTCTACCAAATCCAACCCGCTCCCTGCCAGCCATGCCAACACCCCCTCTTCCCAGAATCCCCCTGTGCAGAATGCTCAGGGCCGCCCACCCACTGCCGGCTTTAGCCCCCAGCTGGCCATTCCTACAGTGCAGGCCAATCCTATGTCTCCTGTTAGATTACTCCCTTCTAGTACTGACCCAAGCACCAAATCTATCCCCATCATACAGGTCACCCCTCACCCCTCTCCAAGGGGAAGTCCCCTCCCTACCCCCAAGGGGACACCCGTCCATACGCCAAAGGAGAGCCCAGCAGGCACACCCAACCCAACGCCACCATCCAGCCCCAGCATTGGAGGAATGCCCTGGAGGACACGGCTCAACTCAATCAAGAACAGCTTCCTGGGGTCTCCTCGATTCCATCGCCGGAAATTGCAAGGTGAGTCCGTTCTCCAGATGAATGCGGATATCCAAATTGGGGTGAGTATTCAGCAATAAACTGGCAACTCAGATTGACTCCGAAAATCTCATTTGCGGAGAAGTGACTATCAGTGTTGGTAAGAGTGAGGGAGTTAATGCAAGGCCAAGATAAGCGTGAACAGGCTCTGTGGTAACTTCCACAGCACAGCTCCGTTGCTGCACCTCAATCCTGAGCTGCAGCCTCTCTTGCTATTCCAATCCTGAATCCCCACACAGCACCACCTGCTATCCCCATCCTGCAACCCCCTGGCAGCTCTGCCAGTGCACCTCAATCATGACCTTGCAGCATCTCCTGCTACTTCACTCCTGAGCCTACCTACCTTTAGTCTTGCTCCGCAGCACTCCTGCTATTCCAGGCCTGGCCCTCTCCCAAGCAGAGATGGTCAATTGGTGGGAATAGAATGAGATTGTCCTTCTACAGCATAGTTTGTTTTTATAATCCTGTTTAGTTATTTCTTTTCTTTTTCTCCTGAGTGTAATTGGTGTAAACTATCCCTTAATGTAATCAGTACTATCAGGTCTGTTTGGGATGTTACAGTTTTTACAGACACTGGAATTCTAAGATGGACAAAGTTATTTGCTTCAAGATTCGGGTAGCTTTTTCCTCTTTGGCAAAGGGCACCTGAAGTCACATGCATAACCCCAAAGGCTGTCAGAATCAAACCAATTCCTTATGGTTTTACACTCAAGGTATTGGGTCTGTTCTGTGGAGAAAGGAGAATATCTAACATGCTAATGGAAGATCTAGAACAGGGGTAGGCAACCTATGGCACATGTGCCGAAGGCGGCACGCAGGCTGATTTTCAGTGGCACTCACACTGCCCAGGTCCTGGCCACCGGTTCGGGGGGCTCTGCATTTTAATTTAATTTTAAATGAAGCTTCTAAAACATTTAAAAAACCTTATTTACTTTACATACAACAATAGTTTAGTTATATATTATAGACTTATAGAAAGAGACCTTCTAAAAACGTTAAAATGTATTACTGGCCCATGAAACCTTAAATTAGAGTGAATAAATGAAGACTCGGCACACCACTTCTGAAATGTTGCCGACCCCTGGTCTAGAACGTATGTCCTGATTATCAGAGACTCTGAATCTGAGATGGCCACGGAAGGACTGAGAATTGTGACAGTGATGCAGGGATCCTTCTCAGGGGAAAAGTTGATCAGCTAGTTTTATTTTTGGCTCAAGCATCACCCTATTCTGCGAACTGGAGCCCATTGGTTTCTGTGCAAGGTGCGAACACAGCTGGACTGATGTAACAGCATTCCAACATCTCATTTGCACTTTGAAGAGTCTGCAGGGATTCCCTGTGTATTTTCAGTGGCTATGGGGATTCTTTAGATGAAAGGCTCTGTGCAAAGTATGAATGTTAACCACTGATTCTCATTTATTTATTAAATAAGAAAAAAAGAGTAGAAAGTGATTCAGACACACCACAATGATATGCTCAGTCTAAGGGCCTGATCCAAAGCATGTTGAAGCCAATGGGAGACTTTCCATTGACTTCAATGGGCTTTCGGTCAGGCCCCGAAAGCATCAATATTTTAGAATAGAGTAGTCACGGTGATCTAGGAACACGAGACCAATGTTTAGACATCAGGACTGGCTTGTGGTTTTTAGGAGATGTAAAGATGGGAGGAAAACAAGGGGGTATGGTGCAAGGATTATTTCATTGATATAGAAGGAGAAAGAGGAAGGTCTATTTCTTTACCATTTCCTTTTTCTTGCTCCCTCTTTATGTGTGTGTGTGCATACAGTACCTACACCAGAGGAGATGTCCAATTTAACCCCGGAATCTTCCCCAGAGTAAGTAATTAATTCACTGTGACGCTACTTATCTCACCACTTTATGGTTTCCTTCCTGTGCTAATGGTGTGATAGGAACACAGTCCATTCCTGGTCCTGAAAGGCTCGAGCAAATGGTCTAGATATGTGAAAGGGCTCTTCCACTGGGGTCCATGGGCACAATCCAATGCCCAGTGAAGTCAATGCAAGTCAACAGTCACTTTCTTTGGAGTGCGGAGCTTACCAGCGTTGAAACACCATCCTGCTCTCTCTCTTCCTGTGTTTCTCCAGCAAATCATTCTCTGGGAGGAAGGTCTTGTAATTGGCCCTAGCAGTGCAGTCACAGGACTTCCACTTAGTATAGCACAGTTTGTATCCCAGGGATAGGGTGTGAAGAGTAATTCCTGGAGCAATTCAGAGACGTCACTGCCTGTGATAGTGAATGCAGTGTTAGTTCCCGATAGCAGCACCAGGAGCTGCAGGGGATATTTAATATTCACCATGCATGTTCCTAAAAATCAGTGCACAATTAAACAATTTCATTGCACAAATGTGCATAACGGCATGGTGTGCTTGGAAGACCCTGCCAAAGAGCAGTGCTCCAAACACTTCCTAATATGGGTAACAGATGCCAAATTAGTCCTTTTTATTTTCACAGTTTGTGTTTGTGCACCCTATGCCCATAGATTTTCCCTGCCAACCGAGGCGATTTAGCCCTCTGTGCGTGAAATATTCATGATGATTTGGGGTCCAAAGATCTCTAATTGGAGCTAGCGGCATTGCCTTAACACTTTTACTAGTGCCAGGGCATCGTATTGTGAAAGCTGGGCAGTCCATTTCCAAAGCTGCACCAGCAGGGTGGGTGGGGAATGGTCGGGGGTGGGGGTGTGGCGGTACAGGGAATGAGGAGTGAAGAGAGAGGGAGAGGTCCAAGAGGAAAAATAGAACAAGTTGTGTATTTAAAGCATGGGATGTTTACTGCTGGGGGGACTTAGGGAAACTTCATAAAGAGAACAGGCTCAGACTGAAGAAATAAATGAAATACTCATGTCAAATGGTCTTAAGGGTATTAAAGCTGAAAAAGTCTGTGAGTGAAATCTTTCTTTCTTTCTTTCTTTCTTTCTCCTGCCATCTCTATTTCACACTGTCCCTTTAAGAGCCGGTGTGGTAAGGTAGAGTCTGTCATTTGAGGCAGTTTGGATGCAAGTCAAGTCCTAAGGCCCTCTCTCCCTTTTCTGTATAATTGCTGAATTAATGAGTTCAATTGGGTTGCACCCTGCAGGAAACATAATAAAACTCGTAAAAAAATAATGAACTAGATTTTATTTTAACCATAGATGTCTTGTTTCTCGGTGCCCACTTCTACATATTTTGGGTTTTGTTTTTGTTTTCCCCATAAGAAAAAAGACATCTTCATCAAGAACTCTATTGACCTCATGTGCTGAGTGATAAACATGTGTTTCCTTTCTCCGTTATGGCATCTTTTAATGACTCTCATTCATTCAACAATTCCCATGATTGGCTAATATACCATGACATGTCTAGGTAATGCTTGTTTTTCTCTTATGGAGAAGTCCTAGTTAATTTATTAGCAATGAACCCTAAAGGGATATATCCTCAGCTGGTGTGTTCATAGAATCATAGACTATCAGGGTTGGAAGGGACCTCAGGAGGTCATCTAGTCCCATCTCCTGCTCAAAGCAGGGCCAATCTCCAGAGCCCCAATTCAGCAAGGCACTTAAGCACGCATGTAACCTTCAGCATGGTGAGTAATGCCATTGGTATCAATGGAGCTAATCATATGCCTAAAGTAGTGCTCGTGCTTAAGTGTCTTGCTGAATCAGGGCCCAAATAAGGAGCTTACCAATAGGGTTCTAGACAAATTACTGTAGAAATCTATCGCTTTTTAACAGAGAATGAGATTCTTTCTTTCTTAACCAGCAAGGATAGAATTCTCTATTAAATTTTATATGATTAAAAACAGCAATGGAAAGTTTATCAATATCTATTACATCGTACCAGATTATTCCAAACAGGATATATATTATTCTGTCCTCCAGTGACATCCCCTCCTTTCTCACTGCCCCCTGAAACACACCTTCCTTTCTCATCCATGGCTGTCAATAACAGCTAATTGACTTCTAGCTGTTCCTTACAAAGAGAATGTCTTTACTGCTCACCTACAAATCTCCAGAAGGACCTATAGAAATTCAGAGCTATGAAATTGGGCAACATGAGGGCAGCTAGGATTCAGTATAAACCAGGGCAGACTGATTAAGGCACCATAGAAGGAACAGTTTGAACTGGACATACGTACTGATGGGATTGGGTCTTGAGAGACGTGGGTTCAATTCGCTACTCTTCCACAGATGCCCTGTGTGACCTTGGACAACTCACTTAATCCTTTTATGCTTCAGTACCTCCATCTGTAGGGTGGGGATAATCATATTCTCTTCCTCCCACCCTTAGTCTGTCTTGTGTATTTAGGGCAAGATTGTGACTTAGGGCTTGTCTACACTACCCGCCGGATCGCCAGGCAGTGATCGATCCAGCGGGGGTCGATTTATCGCGTCTAGTTTAGACGCGATAAATCGACCGCTGCGCGCTCTCCCGTCGACTCCGGTACTCCACCAGAATGAGAAGTGCAAGCAGAGTTGACAGGGGAGCGTCAGCTGTCGACTTACTGCAGTGAAGACACCGTGGTAAGTAGCTCTAAGTATGTTGACTTCAGCTACGCTATTCACGTAGCTGAAGTTGTGTATCTTAGATCAACCCTGCACGGTAGTGTAGACAAGCCCCTAGACTCAGACACTTGTGCAGAGGAGTAAGGGGAAGTAATAGCCTGTTTTGGCCACAGAGCAAGAGGGATGCCAGGAGGGAAGTGTGCCTCTGGGAGGTGAACAGCACCATTTGTCATTTTAAATGTGCCTGGAAGGAAGGGGATAGTCCTGCTCTGGAGACTAGTAGGAGCTCTCCATGTGCCCTCTTCTGAACATATCAGAGGACGAGGCAGTAGACCACACGCGTCACGCTTTTCCCAGGATTGCCAAGTCTGTGTTTCAGTTAAAAAAAGCGTTATTGCCCTCTGAAACGGTGCCCACCACGCACAGTGTCTAAACCATGGTCCCTCCCATCACCTAGAGAGGGCTTTCCGAGTATGTGAGGGCTCTGAAGACCAACTGCAGTGGGGGAACTGGGCCTCTCACCACTTGCTGGTCAAACAGCTCCTGATAGGTTTTAGAAAAAAGAAATAGTGAAAGGGTCTATAGCATGTGGGTCCATCGCAAGAGAGCTGAGAGGGAGAGTTTGGTGGGTTTGTTACTGAGAGACCGGGGAGAGAAGCGAACTATAAACAATGAGGGAAGAGGTGAAAGCCTCAGCCCTTGTTATTTAACATGAGAATGGACAAAGCACTAGAAAAAATACTGTAACCTGGAGAAATAACCTTGCAGTCAGGCTAGGGGGTGGACTAGAAAGATGACCCTGGGATGTTACCGGTAGGTCTTTTCCATTTCAAACTTCTACTGCTCTTAAAGCAACAAAAGTACAAGGCTCAGTTTTCACATGTGGGCATCCATTTGGTTGGTTTTACTCTGCAACTGAAGATCTCAAGTGCTTCCCCAGAAGAGTCCCTCTACCCCAAGCCCCACTTTGAGAAGGAGACTGGCAGAGAGGTGAGAGGATTATTACTGCCAATCCCTTTTGTGCTGCAGGGAGGAAGGGGAAGCTGGACTCCCAGTGCCAGATTTCGGGCCTGATTCTGGGAGATGCTAAGCATCTCCTTCAAGGTGCTGAGTGCCCTTGATTCTTAGGAGCTTCAGTTGGATTTCAGACCTTAAAGTGCAGTTCTGCTTTGAAAAATGCTGAAGTACAAATGGCAGCTTTTTACTTGGCAGGTCTGTTCCGTGGTTATTTGCAGAGTCAGATCTGCTGAGTTGGCAGAGAGAAGTCAGTTGTACTGTTTTCTGATCCTGTGCGCTCTGCAGAGCCAACACAGCGATGGGGGAATCAGCTGGAGTCTATTCCATCTTATGCATCACCAACAAATTTGTTTACTGAATTCCAATCAGTTACAGGCAGGAAAGTGTCGGAGGCGTCATTGAGGTCTTAAACTTGCCTAGTGCAAAGCCTTTATTCCTGGTGATAATTCATGAGAAGGAAAGAACTCAGCTGGACCCTGTGATCTCAGGCTGAGTTTGCAGGGTTAATGGCAAAACAACTCGTTATTGTATCTATAAACGGAGCCCTTTTTACCTGTAGTCATTGAGAGACTAGTAAATATAGGGACACACAAGGTGATTTTTTTAATGATTATTTTACACAGAAGAGCCGCATTTAAATATTTACACCTTGGCCCTCCCCAGAAGTGATGGATACAAGCCTAGGACAACCAGACAGTTTAAATGGATCACCAGGTGCAAACAGCTAATGAGCAAAAGGCCCTTGACATGCAGGGAGTGGTTGCCCCAGCTTTCCGGGGAGCCTACAGAGTTGTTCTGTCATTATGAGGCACATGACGGGGGGGTGGGATAGCTCAGTAGTTTGAGCATTGGCCTGCTAAACCCAGAGTTGTGAGTTCAATCCTTGAGGGGGCCATTTAGGGATCTGGGGCAAAATCAGTACTTGGTCCTGCTAGTGAAGGCAGGGGGCTGGATTCAATGACCTTTCAAGGTCCCTTCCAGTTCTAGGAGATGGGATATCTTTATTATGAGCTCATTAGTATGTAATTTCCTTTCATACTCTAACCCTAGCTTTGTAATGACCCATTTAAATGAGAGGCCCTTTCTCTTTACTGCTCTCTGTGGTAATCTTTGGCTCACTGACTTAGTTACAGCTGCCTATGAATATTTTAGGGAGTTATGGTTTTCCAACCCACTTTTACTGAGGAGGGCGATTTACCAAACTGCAAGTGAATCCTTTTGCACTCTGCTTTTGGTCACCTGGGGTAGATGGAAACAGAAGCTGATTAGCACTGAGCTGTCTTCCAGTTCTGATCTTTCCTCTGTGTGGATTAAATGGGCAATAAAATGACAGTGCTGTGATGCATGGAGCAATCCAGTAGTAAGGATTTCCAATCCAAAGTCCAGTTGATTTCAAGACTTTGTTCTCCATCCCAGATGTCAAGACTCCAAATGAGTTTTCCAGTGTGTTCCTCTCCCTCCTTAACGCAAGTCTGGCCCCAGGGAGCCTAGACCTAGCCAGTTCTGTTTACCCAGCGAAGCAGATCTTTATTCAGGTGCCTATTGCTGAGTTGTATTAATCCCGTCTCCAGATAGCTCTTTACCAGAAAGGCTTAAGGTTAGAGAAACTCTTCTCCTGTTATGTTGTGGAGCATTCTCCCAAGAGAAGTTGTGGAAGTCCATTGCTTGGCACACTGCAAACCAGACTTGACATGGTCACTATAAAATATTCTGCAGGGAATAATCCTGCATTGGCAGGAAGATGGACTCGGTGGACATCTTTTAATCTCTAATCTCTAATGCATCCGAAGAAGTGGGCTATAGTCCACGAAAGCTTATGCTCTAATAAATTTGTTAGTCTCTAAGGTGCCACAAGTCCTCCTGTTCTTCTCTAATCTCTGTAGACAATCCATCCCTGGTGTAACTTGACTGATTCCAATGCAGTTTCCTCTGTGATTAATTTGACCCAACAATTCTATGGTTGTGTCACATGACTGAAACAATCTTCCCCCTCCACCACACTTTCTATAGGGTCCACCTACTACTCTCAAGCCCTGGCTAACCTCCCATTGATATAAATAACCCTGCATTTCTGCTGTAGTCCTTTTACTTTACTCGTGAATGTTGATGAAGCGGTGCTAGTGAAATCTCCTGAGTAGAAATACACATTTGATGATGCTGTCAGTATGAAAACAACAAAGTAATTTCATTTATGGTGGAATCAGCATTCAGTGCTTGAGGAAACAGCAGGTATTGGCCACTGTCTGTTAAAACCAAGAATGGTGGTTTGTGTACTTTGATATCTCCCCCTTGATACTTGGTAAAATTCATCCTGGGCAGAAGGCCAGCACAAGGGCCATGCATTCCTTAGATTCCCTAAGTGGGATTTAAGTAATATATAAGCCTTGTGTTTAATGATATAATAAGATACGATGGGCGGGCCACGTAGCACGGTTCACGGACAATAGGTGGACGGCAATCATTACTGAGTGGTACCCGCGAGAACAGAAAAGACCACTGGTCGGCCTCCAAGAAAATGGGAAGATGACATTGTTAAACGTTTCGGACGAACGTGGAGAAGAAAGGCAAGAATGCGAGAAGAATAGCGGATGTGTTGTGATCGGCGCAGTCTTAACGACAGCTGAAGACCGATCGATCCAGGTGATAAGCCTTGTGCTAGCCCTCTGCACAGGGTTGAATTTCACCTATGGACATGGCAGCTTGGAGGGTAAGTGAGACACCCAGAGCAATGTGGGTGTAATAAATATTGTGACCCCAGGCGGAGATTTTCAGGTTAGGAGCTTCACAACTTCTAGAAAACCTCAAGTGGGCTGAAACTGACCTGGAATGACCTCCAAAATCTCCAGAGTATCAGTGTCACCAGCACCCACCATGATGCCAGAAGACACAGGAAGAGCCTTGCAGGGGATCTCTGAGATCTGTACGCAGATTTTATGTGCACTGTATAAAATGTCGTATTGATTAGTGTATTTGGTTAGAACTGCGACAGCGGCTCCTGGCTGTCCATTGCTGATCACACTGTGCTGCTGTAGCAAAACCACATGGTCCACAGTCTAGTGTCTGATTGAGTTACATCGCATCACCCATTGTAGCAGCATCACAGTGTGATGACAGCCCATCATCCTTGTGTCGTATGCATGTTTGTCCAAATGCCAGGTGTCTAAGAAATGCTTTTTCTGTTCTAAATCTACTCCTTCTTTCTTTTTTCTTCATATCAGGCTTGCCAAAAAATCCTGGTTTGGTAACTTTATCAACCTGGAGAAAGAAGAACAGATCTTTGTGGTCATTAAAGATAAACCACTAAGCTCCATCAAGGCTGACATTGTGCACGCTTTCCTTTCGGTAAGTCAATCTGGCCCGTGCTATAGACTCATCTCACTATTCAATTCCAAGGACATCCTAAGTCCACATATTCTTGGACAGGGCTCCCACATCCTGGAATTCCTCCCCATTGTGTTCATTTCTGCAGCACATTCTTTGCTCATCTGTTTCCCACTTGAACCTGGCCTAATGAGGTACCAAATTTCCCAAGGGGACTTGCAAAGCGCTAAAATGAAAGTCTTCCATGGACCTGCCGATGCTTGGGGTTTAAATGCAGTCAGAGCTTAAAGTGCTGCTGCAGTGCCTAGAAAGTCAATTCCCTTAATCGACTATTCCATTAGATTTATGGCACATTATTTTTCCCTTCTCCTTCTGGGTCCCACAGTGATCCTCGGGATGCTCCCTCCATCCCTTGCACCAGGAGGGGGAAATCTGTCTCACATGAGACTTTCTAGTCTTAATTTTAAATCTCCCCTGAACTTGGCAGACATAGAAGGCTCATTTTCTCCTAGGGCTGAAATATCTGTGGTTGGAGATGCTGACTGTCTGCACCTTAAAGTCTCCACACCTGGGATTTTGGGATTAGTGGGGGAGAGGGCATCCCTTCCTCCCAGACACAGAGACCCTCTTCTCTCCCACCCATAAGTACAAATGAAGAAAATAGAAATGAGAGTGAAATTGATTTGAGAGATTTTTTTGTTCTAAGGGAGTTAGGTACATTTTTTTTAATTTGAGATGGGGGTAGGGCTTAGTTTATTTTATATATTTTGCTATATGACATTGTTTTTCTGCAGAAAGGCACTAATTTTCGATCTCTATGATATACCTGCTGTAATGAATTCCATTCCATAGAGCAGTCAAGACCCCTGACCTTTTTTGCACATAGCACAGACCTGTAAGCATGGGGTATAACATAATAGTGAGCATCACCCACTGTAAGTGACCACACATTTATTTAAACTATGCCTCTCCCCTACATGAAGTCCATGAATTCAGCTCCGCATATGGGACTGGTATATTGGCTTTTAGTGCCCAGTAGTCACTGTGAATACCCCAGCTGCTCTCTCTCTCACAGCTAGCTTCCTAATTAAAGATAATGCAGCAACCTGCTAAATGAATCCCTAGGGCCAGATTTTCAGAAGAACACCGTTCCTAGTTAGGCACCCAGATAAGTGGCCAGCTTGCTAAGATTTATAGCATGTTGAGTGCCGAGCCTATTTGGAATTCTGGCCCTGACTGTCAATGCTGGGCACCTGAAAACCTTGCCCTGAACAGTTTTGAAACTCTGGCCCCAAGTGTGAAGATCTTAGGGATACCCTAGAGATCACTCAAAGGTCTGTTTTCTACTAATAGGAGGCGGGGGGTAGTTAGGCTCTTCACAGGTAAGCAGTCCCTGTACAGATCCCAGGTTCTGGTCCTGTTTATCTATCCAGGTCAGCTATCGAGTATCCCTTTTCCTGGGCTCTCTTTGGTATCCTGCTTTGAATTTTCTACCCCCACCTGATATCATTTCTCACTGAGCTGTGAGGATCTACTGGAACTGATGCTTGGGAGATGTCAAAGGACCCACTATGCTCAGTTGTACAGCAGGGGGGATTTCTAAGTATGTCAGGTACTTCACCAGTATGCACGCTTTAAACCTGGCTTGATCCACAAAGTGCTATGCATTCCTGTGAGGTGCTGAGCGCCTCAACTCCCACTGATTTTACAAGAGGGCACAGCTCATTGCAAGGTTGAGCCCATAGGCAGCAAAGCTTTCTCTCTCCAATGGCTGGGAAGGCCAAGCGAGAGAGAGAAAGAAAGAGAGATCTTCTTAAATAGAACTTTTGCCCTCTGACCATATCATCCCCTACTGCCACCCTGTTTCAGATTCCCAGCCTCAGTCACAGCGTCATCTCACAGACAAGTTTCCGTGCAGAGTACAAGTCCACGGGGGGTCCCGCTGTCTTCCAGAAGCCAGTGAAGTTCCAGGTGGACATAACATACACAGAAGGGGGCGAGGCACAGAAGGAGAATGGAATCTACTCAGTCACTTTCACGCTCTTATCAGGTAACCACACAGTGGCTGCAGCCTGCGGGCAGGGTAGCATTCACCCTGCCAGTGGGGAGGCTGGAGCATGAGGGCAGACATGGGAGCAGAGAAGATGAAAGCCTAGAACTCAGGAAGAGAGGGAGAACTTGGGAGAGGAGGGTGTAGGGAAGAGGAATGACAGTTTAGACATCCTGTGGTTTGGGCAGTGATGGGCATGCTGGGAGAGAAAGGGAAGGTCAATGGGAGCAACTACCGTCGAAGCAGATGCTGTCGTGGTCAGACAGACAGGTGTGCTAGAGTCACTGCTGCTCAATGCGTTGGACTTGAAATGCTCCAGCTGTCCTGCTTTATTGTTTCAGTATAAGGTGTGTCTCTGAGCAAGGCGCTGTGCGGCCACCCACAGGGCTTTTGCCCTTACCCAGAACATAAGCAACAGGGAAGCCACTCTGCTGTCTTAGCTGGCCGCCAGGCACACTGTGAGAGAGGCAGGCCAGTCTGGCTCAGAACTGCAGAACTAACCTGGATTCTCTTCTGGGTCCTCTCCTCCTCCCTCCACAGTCAGACCTTTACCCCTTCCCCAAAGGCTGTGAGTAAATTCCCTCCCCAAACAGGTCCTGTATCAAAGCGAGCCATCTCGATGGTGGCTGCACAAATCCAGGCTGTGCACCAATACCAGAGCCTCCCCTCCGCTCTAGGAATGGCTCGTGTCACCTTCCCCTCCTTTTGACACACACACTTGCTCCCCACAGACGAGCTGTCAAGTCTGAAGGAGGAGTCATTTCTGATTTTAAATCTTTGGGAGGAGGGGCAGGGGGACAGATGTGGGCTGTGCAAATAGGTTTAGGCTATTGTGCACCACTAGGTTACAGATGGGCTTGGCATTGGTAGGATGGATACAATTATTGCCAGTGTCCAATCAACCCCCATTAGAATAGATTTTGAATGGATCTGGCAATAGGAACCTTTGGAGGAGGGAATTGCTGTAATTCCCACTGAGAATCCCGATTCTGGAGGGCAGGGGAACCGTCTGAGGGAGGAGATTAAAAAGAGAAAACGAACCTCACATTTAGAAAACCAGCCCCCAGGGCATTTCAGATACTAGGATGGGAAAGGAGCATCTAAGCTAGACTCTTCCATGGAGTCCTTCACGTCATAGCTCTAAAGTGGTGGTCGTTCAGTAGCTCTTCAGTCACACACCAGCCCACAGACACACTATCAGTCTGATAATGGGGGAGGGGTGGAGATTGAAGGGAAGATGCTTGTTCTTCCTCCTCCTGTGTTATGCCCTGTGCCTTATGGGGGTATTCGGCTCCTGCTCTCTCACCGCTGTTTGCGTCTTTTCTCCCCTGCAGGTCCAAGCCGTCGCTTCAAGAGGGTAGTAGAAACCATTCAGGCACAGTTGCTAAGCACACATGACCAGCCTTCAGTGCAGCAGTTATCAGGTATGTTGTATTCACTGTTCAGTGCTTTGCTTCAGCCAGGACATGAAGGTGAAGTGCCTCTCGTGGGGGGGATTGGGGGGAGAGAAAAGATGCGGGGGAGCACATCCCTCTGATTGCAACTAGAAACTAGCTTCATTCAGACAGAACAATAACTCTCCCCCCTCCATCCACCCTACTCCTGCCTTCAACACTCCATCTCCAATGTCCCAAGTGACTTCCCAAAGTGAGAAGCCCTTCCCACCTCCCACCCCAAGAGCCATCTGTACCCCCTCAAAGGAAGCAGAAGTTCCAGATTTTCTGTAGCTCCCAAATAACAGATTAAAGACCCCTCTAGAATGCTGTAGAACCCCCTATATCTACTCCTGGAATAAAGCTTGGAGCTGCCTTTAGCAAGAAGTTAAGAGCAAAGGCTTTCTGAGCATCAGAAGGTGGCTCCCAGCTATGGGTTGTGGTGTTAGACACCTGGCCCAGTTGATCTATTGGTGAAGCCTTCATAGTGTATTCAGGTTCTGCAGGATCTCAGCTTTCATTTTTTTAGAAAGCAAGTTTCTAGCTTCAATGTTTGTAAAAAAAAAAATTCCAAATTCCAGTGTAATTAATGCAATGTCATCTTCCTGAGTCTGCAGTCAGCCTGAAATGGTCACTCAGAGGTGTGAACGCCCTCACTCCATTAAGCATCTTGGAGTGTTCACTCTAGAGCCTAATGATGACACTTTAAAATGTCAGCATTACCTCTCATTGCTGATCATTTTAAGAGAATGGAACAGGGTAGAATGTGAGAGTTGAATCCCCTGGGAAGGTTGGGAATTGGGAGTTACTGCAGGAAAGGAAATGCAGTGGGAGAAACAGAGGAGACGCAGAGAAAGGAGGATGGGAAAGGAAGACAAGGAAAAGGCAGAAAGAATGGAGAGAATGTTCCCATTTGAATGATGCTGACTCCATTAAGTACTGAGCAAGTGAAAAATGTTAGTAATTAAAAGATCCGTATAAGGGCCAAATCCTCTGCTTGACCTTTGTGTAAACCTGCCATTGCCATGAATGGGGGATTTGCTGTGGATTTAGGTGGGTATGGAGTCCTAAATTTATACCCTGGCCCATGGATTATAATTAAAAATGGACTTTGGCCCTCTTCAAGAATGGATTTGTTGCCCTTGCTCTAACAGTGTGGCAGGTGAGTGAATTAAATGTGGAGACAGTTCCAGCTGGGAGGGCTATAGAGAGAGTTTTTCACAAGACAGAAGTTGTCACTCAGTTTAGGACAGATATTTCCCACCTCTCCTCCTCCTGCCAGTATTGCCTAGCCTTTTTCCTGTAGATTTCTTCACCACCCAAGAGCCACTAAAGGAGATGGGAATGGCTGGACGTCTAGAGCTAGATTTGTTTTAGGTTAACTTACTCTCAGGGAACCAAGTGCTTTTTTATTTACTGTCCAGTCTTACGGCATTAAACCAGACACCAGAAAGAAATGAGACCTTTCCCTCACCCGACACCTTGTGTCCTGCCCTCTCTGGTGGGGTTGGGAGAGTTGGGTGATCAGAGAAGCATCCTGTGGTGGAGATCTGGCCAGTTGAGACTAGTTCTGCCATTCCTCCTGCTGTTTGACTAAAGGTCCCCCGTCCTTGCCACTAAAGGGAAGAAATCCCTTATCCTCAGCTGAGCAAACCCTATTAAAGAAATTCATGACCTCGCTAACCAGCACCATGCCCTGGCTCTCTGTGCTTCATCTACTGAGACTAGCTAGAAAGATTTAGACCCTATTTTTTCCAAGTGTTTAAAGCAGCCAGGATGTCCCCATTGGAGAGTCTTCTCAGTGACATGGAACAAATGGAACAAAATGCATTTGTCTGCCTGAGAGGTGAGGGAAAGCATTCAAGACAAACCATGCTGTAGGAAATGGATCCAACATGCGGCTTTGTTCTCTCTCTCTC